TTTCACAGACCAGGATTGGAAACACAGTTTCAACCAGACCAGGATTTGGAAAACACCAGTTTCAAACAGGCGAGGCAAACGAGCTCATCCAAGGACTTATAAGCCCCGTTTTACAGAGGGGGAAACTGAGGCTCAGAGGAGCTGCGGCCTTGCAGCTGGAAGGGGGCGGGCTCAGCCCCTGCGCAGCACCTGGTGACTCAGGCTGCCCACAGAGAAGTTTTACTGCTCTGCACACTATTTTTTCAAGTTTTAACCCAGCTGTATGAAACTGGGGAAATTTAACTCAAAATCTAAATTTTCAGCCAGGTGCAGTGGCGCACGCCTGTCATCCCAGTGACTTGGGAGGCTGAGGCAGGAGGCTGGATATGGGGGAGGACTGAGAGTTCAAAGCCAGCCTCAGCAACTCAGCAACCCTGCAACCCTGTCTCTAAATAAAATACAAAATAGGGCTAGGGATGTGGCTCAGTGGTTAAGTGCCCCCGGGGTTCAATCCCTGGTACCAAAAAAAAAAGTCTAAATTCTCAACTTTTCTAAACTAGAAAAGGATGGTCTGGCGTGCCCCAGCTGCCTCTGCGCATGCTCACCAGGAGCCCCTCCCCCACCCTCAGGGGGCTGGCACTGGCTGCGCTCTCCGGTTGGCCACAGTCCCCACCGCACCCCAGAGAATTCCTGGCCACCGAAGCAGCACCACAAGCCACTGTCACTGCGCACACAGGCTGTTTCAATCACACGGAGAAACCGTTTTCTATCGAAGGTGGAAGCACAAAACCAAACCCGTAAGGGGGCCGCGTGTTTCCAGAAAGAAACAGACCACCGCCGTCCACTCTGACTTTTTCAGTGTAAAACCGAATGCGTGTCCAGTCCACCCACTTCACTAGTGTGCATCCCTGCCTGGTCCTGGGAGAATGGCCTTCGCAGCCGGTCTTACCTCCCCACCCGGTGTCTCTGTTATGTCCACAGCATGTCCCCAGCGCCAGAAACTGCTCGGTGAAGAAAGTGCCTAATTAATCACTAATTAATTTGTAGTTTTTAAACAAAACTTCTCCAATGATGACAGAGATACTGTAATGGTTAGGAGCAGGCATTTAGGGGGGGGGTGGTCAGACTGGATTCAAGTCCAGCTTGCTCAGTCTCTCTGTTTTACAGCAGGTAACGAGGATGCTTTGAAATCAACTACCTGGTGTGCAGGAGATGGGCACCCCAAGGCCACTCCCTCCCCTTGGGTTCATCAAGGGGAATCCAGGTCTTTCCAAACCTAGTAATGCTCAGCTGGCCCAGGATCCCGCTGTCCGCTGGGCCAGGGGCAGCAGTTTGGTGCAGTCATGGAAGAGCCCTGGGTTAGATGGCAAAGCCCAGGGTTCGACTCCCTGCCACACCGTTGATGGAGAACTGGCTGGTTCAACTCCAGCTCTCCCTCCCGCTTCCGCCCAACCTTCCTGAATTGAAGAAGCTAAACTCCTGGATTCCTTTCAGCCAGGGTCTGGTGCTCTTCCAGCTGCCAGGCAGCTGCAGTCACTAGAGACCTGCATTTGCTACTAAGTGAGAAGAAGGATGGGGGTCAGGCAGGGAGCATCCGACCTGCCTGTGGGACCCCAGCAGAGGTGTCATCTCTATGGGAATCAGACCCGCCCGTTGTGGGAGGAGCTTGGGGAGTTCTGCTCAGGGGAGTGGAAGGCCATCTGATGAGGCTCAGCCGCACATCCAGCCACTGGGGCCTGGGATTCTGCAGCCTCCGGGGCAGCCAGGACTGGGAGACCTAGACATAGCCTGGGGAGCCTGCTGCCAGCTCTGCAGCTGAGGACTGTCACCAGATCTAATCACAGCGACCAGAGGCCGCTGCTTCCCTTCCGCCTTCGAAGCCTCCACGTTGGTCACCCGACGGGGCGGCACTGCAGGAGGGAGACCCCGGGTCTCCTACCAGCCTCGCAGACAGTGCTGACCTGACATCAGTGCCTCCCCTGCCACTGGCGGCGTGGATCCTGCTCCCTACAACCGCCAGAGACCTCAGACCCGCAGGTCAGCCATCCTGGCTCCATCAACGCGAGTCCTCTGGTTGGCACAACTTCCACCTACGGAGGTCGCAGAGCAGAAGCGGGATCTCACCTTCCCAGCCATCCTCGCCGTCCTCGCCGTCAGAAAGTAGGAAGCCCAGCTGATTCCCACCACACCAGTGCACAGTAGGATGACCACACTGGCAAATTTGTGTGTTTTATCACAATTTCAATTAATAATGTAAAATGCCTCCATATCAGCCGGGCACCGTGGCACCGGCCTGTAATCCCAGCGGCTCAGGGGGCTGAGGCAGGAGGATCATGAGTTCAAAGCCAGCCTCAACAACAGCGAAGTGCTGAGCAACTCGGTGAGACCCTGTCTCTGAATACCAAATAGGGCTGGGATGTGGCCCAGTGGTCAGTGCCCCTGAGCTCAACCCCCAGTACCCCCCACTGATGCCTCCATATCATTTTATAATTTAAATGAGTGAATTAAACACAATAAAATGTTTAGAAAAACAAACCAACCCCTGTGCCAGCTTCCTGCCCTCTTTGGGGCACAAGGGCCCAACACATTCCCACGGCAGCCCGCACCCTCACCCACACCCCACCCCAATTCCTCCTCCCCCCGTCTCACGGGCCTGCCTTTGCTTCCTGAAAAATGGGGGGCCCACCTCAGGGCTCGTAGGTTTGTTTTTCTTTCCACCTGGATGCTCTTCAGCCAGGTCAGTGGCTCTCAACACTCGCTGCCCCTCAGGGTCATCTGAGCAGATCTCAGAAGGCCCCCGTCAAAAGACACCGTGAAAAGGGCCGAGGTCCTTGGGTGGTTTCTTCCCAGTGAGAATTCTGGCTCAATGGAAGCCAAGACGGCACTTGTTTTGTTCTCCACCGTGTCCCCAGTGCTTGCCTCAATAAGCAGCTGTGGCCAGAAGGGACACTTCCCATTCCAGTAGTCCCATCACTCGTTTCTGTGGCTGCAGTTCCACAAGTGGCCACCAGGTGGCAAGAGTCAACTACATTAAAAAGTCACCTCTAGACTCTCCAGGCTGGTGGTCCCTGCGGGTCCCTAGGAGGAAGCAGCAAGGTCCTGGCAGCCTCTTCCGGGCTCACCATACCCCATCACGTCTTCACAGAGTGAGACGTTAGGTGGACCCAGATGAAAGTTACAGGACCTCCAGCCCTGCCCCCTCTCCACCACGCACTGACCCTCTGGTGCAGCTGCCCGGGGCAAGATTCCACGGTACCCCCACTGTGACAGGTGCACACACGCTCCTGCTGCGGGTCTGTGTGCACACGCCGCCCTCAAAGAACCGCAGATGCCCTGTAACTGTACCAACAAGGAACCACAGTCAAGGTTTTAGATAAAAGGGCAGGACAGACACTACCATTTGTAAGAAAGGGGAAAGATGTCACTCCAACGAAGCCTTCTTGCTGTCCATCAAGCCCATGAAGCTCACAGGTGCCCCGGTCCCTTTGCACTTCCTGGTCCCTCTGTCTGGACCATTTCCTCACCTACTTGATCTCCCACAGCCAGCTCTTCATTCATAGCTCAAACATCCCCTCTGCAGAGAGGATGCCAGATGGTTCCAACTGGGAAGTCACCTGTGCCTCTTGGTCCTCCTCTACACCATCCCCCTTGGTTCCTTGACAATACCAGCCATTCTCTGCTTTTTCAGGGCCCATAAGTAGAAAATGTTCCCATTTTTAGGTGGTTGGGGAAAAAATATTTTGCAATAAACTGAAACTCAAATGTCGGTCTATGGCACTTTATGGTTTTCGCCACGTTCACTTACGGTCCCCTTTGGCTGCTTTTGCCACAAAGCCTGACACTCTGACCCTTGGTGGACTTGAGGATCCTGCCTGCATGGATTCACTCCCGTTACCTTCCTCCGAGCCCAAGGGAGGAGCCCACAGGCCCATGCTCCCTCCTCTACTCCAGTTGCTGAAATCCCAGCACCTAGCAGGTCCCCTGGGAATTGCTGCCCCATGACTGGAAGACTGACTGGTTGTCACCCCAAGGGAATGCAAGCTTGGCAAGGGGGGGGGACATCCCACCTCCCATCCCAGTGCCGGGGCCGTGCACACATTTGCAGACCACTCAGGAACTGACACCACGCGCACCTTCAAACGGGGGCCTTGGCAGGAGGGTTGCTGGGGTAGAGATCTGGGGACCACTGGCCAGAGCAAAAACGGACCCTGCTGCCCAGAAGACCAAGTAGCCTCAAGCTCTCCAGACTCTGCCTTCTCCCAGGCTTGGAGCATCAAGGCCAGCACAGCCCACGGACGTCCGGGTGGCTCAGGTCTCCTAGGCCACAGAAGTCGGTGGCTCCCTACTGCCCCACGCCTTCCTGCAACACCCTGGTGCTAGCCAGGGCCACTAGTGTCAGGTGCCGCCCTGTGGGGGGTGCTGGCCTCTCAGGGCCCCTCCTCCTGTGTTTGGCTGTAAACATAGACAGCCATCCCCACCACCGGGAAAACTGCAAATTCGAGGACAACCAAGCCATTTTGCCAAAACAGTTTAATTAAAAAAAAAAAAAAGTGAAGAATCTGAAAAACCTGGGAGGGAGGGGGGAAGGGGGGAGGGAGAGAGAGAATGGGGGAGGGAGGGGAGAGAGGGAGGGAAGGGGGAGAGAGGGAGGGGCGGGGGAGAGAGGGAGGGAAAGGGGGGAGGGAAGGGGGGAGGGAGAGAGGGAGAGAGAAGGGGGAAGGAGGGAGGGAAGAGGGGAGGGAAGGGGGGAGGGAGAGAGGGAGAGAGAAGGGGGAAGGAGGGAGGAAGAGGGGAGGGAGAGAAGGGGGATGGGAAGGAGGGAAGAGGGTAGGAAGGAAGGAGGTAGGGAGGAAAGGGGGAGGGAGGAAAGAGGAGCGGGAAGGAGGGAGGGAAGGAGGGAAGGAGGGAGGGAGGGAAGGAGGGAGGGAGGGAGGGAAGGAGGGAGGGAGGGAGGGAGGGAAGGAGGGAACCCAAGACCACACCCTGCGACTCCACGGGCTCAGTCACAAAGAAACACCATCTTCAAAAAAGATATTTAAGTTTAATACAAATTTTATACAAAGAAAATGTGAAAAAATACTTCCATATGCTAAAAGCAATTATGCTTCACAAATAAGGCCAGCTAGGCTATTTTTTTTTTTTTGACAACTGCAATTCACAAATGTTCTTTCTCTCCTGCTTTCTTCTAATATCTGTTCTTCTTTCTTCTCTAATGTGGGTGGCTAGCTGGAAGCCATACAGCCAGCATCCTCTTATCAACAATGAAGAGAAAGTAAACGAGACTAAAATGTACAACAGAATGTACTGGAATGATATCGTACAATTAATATTCTCATATACATACATCACCTTTTGCTTTGATCAATGCTTTTTGTTTTACACAACATACAAAATGGTACTACAGCTTACGTAGTGTAACAGACAGCATGACGGTCTTGCTTTCTCATACTGCCACTGTTTCATGCTTACATAAAAACGCAGAGCTCCATCATATAAATAATACACACATGCTTCCTCCGACGCACGCTCCTCGGTGTGCATCTGCCTTTGAGTTCCTGCTTCTGAGAAGCACAGCATCTCCTCCCGTGGGTGTGTGAGTGTTCAAAGGAACCACAAACAAGAAAAGGTTTCTCTTTGCTGCCGAGTTGGTGACGAGCTGGGCAGGGCTCACTAGCCTCCGAGCATCTTCTGTAAACAGGATGTTGATTTTCCCTTTTAGGAGCCACCACTTAAACCACACAGAATAAAGGGCCCCTCCCCACGGCTCCCGGTCTGCAGAGCCTGCGAGGCAGGACACAGTGACGTAGGCATCCGCAAGGGGCCACCGGCGTGGCGTGCTGTGGACAGACACAGGACAACGCTGGCTTCCCCGGGTGCCGAGGGTGAGGCTGTGCAGCAGCAAGCCCAGGCCCGGCCCAGGACTGCTGTGCCCACCGGGCTGGCCCAGGACTGCTGTGCCCACCGGGCTGGCCCAGGAGCGTGTGCCCCGAGGGCGGGCTGCCCATCTGCCTCCGCAGCCAACATTCCTTTCGTTGTGGGGTGTTTTGTTTTGTTTTTTTTTTTTTAACTTGTTTTTCTTTTTTTATAAGTTAAAGTCGATACAAATATAAAAAGGGAAGGTGCTCTAGTTCAGTGACATCCACAAATTGTACATTATTTACACCTACAGCAGCGGCCCCTCCCGCGGCCCTCCCGAGCCTGAAGGGGTCCTTCTCCGTCTCCGCCGACTCCTATTTCCCTGGCGTCCGCGGTCCTCCCCCGTGGGACGGGCGGTCTGGTCACAGCTTGCCCCTAGTCCCAGAAGGCGTCGAGCCGAGACTCTTTCGGGATGAGGCTCTTGGCGCTGGAGCCGGCGCCGAGCTCGGAGCGGGCCGACCCTCGCTTCTCTTCGCCGCCGCCCCAGCAACTGGACTTGCTGCTCCGGGAATGGTCTGCGGAGGGAAGGCACCGGTCAGCACCCCGGCCCGCTCCGCCGGCCACGCGCTCTCCTAGCCAGGGAGCCACCTTCTCCTCCCCACCCCGTACGCCATGGACGGTCCAATTCCCGCCACGTCCATCTCCCCCAATCTGTGGCTCTCTAGAATGCAGAGGTGGAACTTAGGACCTCTAGCTTAGGATTTTTAGGACTTAACCCAGCTGGCTGCAAATCAGCAGGGTGTCAAGGATGAAGATGACTGGGACAGGGCTCAGTCGCCCAGGAAGGATCTCCTGAGCCAGACCTGTACCCTCACTACGCCCCGGGCACCCCTGCGTCCAGGCTCAGCCAGGGAGGCAGGCCCTGGGGACTGGCGGGCAGTGTACGTCCACCCACCGCGGTCCTCGAACCAATCTAGAGGCAACTTGAAAAATAAGACCCATGACCAAATCACAAGTGTCCACCCAAGGGGGAGGATCATAAAAAAGGGACAACTGTGGACCAGAGGGCTAAGTCCACCTGGACGCACAGGCCCAATGGGGAGTCTAAAAAAGGATGCAGAACCACAGCAAGACCTAGGATGGCTTCAAGGACACATAGACACAGCACTAGGAAGGAAGCTGAGTGACAAGTGGTGACAGAAGAGTCGGAGAGGAGCCAGTGACGGCCCTCCTCCAGCAGTCCAGCTCCGCAGGCTCCGCGGCCAGCAGCCAGCTCCCGCGGTGCCTCGGGTCACTTACCAAGTTACTAAGTTCAGACAGATTTTTTTTTTAAAGCATTCTTGAGGTGAGGGGAGGACACTGGGCTGGAAGGGGTCATGGATCAAGCTTAGAGGCAGAATCGGGTGGCTGAGGAAGGGACCCTACTATTACCTAACGGGGCTGCAATTCTTACTGCCCATCAAGAGGCACGTGAGGTAAGTCGGGAGCTCTGTCTCTGGAAGACAAGGGGCAGGAGGGTCGGATGGCAGCGAGTGTCACCAGGAGAGAACTTATTGGCAACTTGTATGGCCGGCCAGAAGGGGGCAGTGTTGTGGCGGACAGAAACGGGGCTGGGGGTGGAGCCTTGATCTTCTGGCCCCTCCCCTCTAGGCATCCCTGCACTTGGAGCTCTTCTGGAGTGTCCCTAAGGGGTGACGCTGCTGGTCATCACTACACATGAGAAAAGTCCCACAAGGCAGTCACCCTTGCGGCTCTGGTGACAACTGGGACCAGCTGGGGTCCTGGAAGACCCGGGGCAGCGGGCCAGGCGCAGCCAGGCCACACAGTCTGGCGGAGGGGGCAGAGGGAGTGGGAACGCGGTGGACTCGTCCCACCGGCCAGGGAGAGCTGGTGTCTTGGGATCAGATGGAGGCTGACCCTCCAGAAGCCCAGCCCAGCCGGCTCTCGCCCTGAAGCAGCGGGCAGTGGCCTCGAGAGGCGCCCCTAAGAAGAAAGTTGCAGAGCGAGGGGAGCCCACGCGACAGGACAGGAGGACACGGCCACAGAGAAACACGGACACACACAGGACGAGGCTTGGCGAGCCGAGCTGGCCGCGGCTGGACAGGGTCATACTTACACTTCTGGGCGGGGTAGTTGGGGTGCGGCTGGTGGTCTGTGGTGGTTGGGGTAGAGGCAGGCTGCTTGTCACACCTTTTGCTAACTGAAGAGATACCAAGGCAGCTCAGAGTCCGTCCCGGGCCAGTTTGGCACAACCCCGAGGGCGCTAGCTCCGGAACCCGCTGGCACCCCGTGCTCCCACCCGGGGCACCGCGGGCCACTGCGGCCTTCAAACACGTGATCAAACCCCAACAGGACCACTGCACACAGCACACGCCACAGGTGGGGGACAAGGCGGCCGGTAACGGAAAGCCACCGGCACTTGATAAGCCCCAGGGTGTCAGGATTTTGAAAGCAAAATCCTCAAAACCTCTGCTAACTGCCTAATCCAACAAGAAGACAGGCAGGCGCTGGACGCCAAGGGAGGAAGGTAGCATCTGGGTCAATGAAGACACTGGTGACCCGGCCAGGCGCAGGGAGAGGACAGAGGGCACTGGAGAAGCTGGGGGCAGGGGGCAGGGCTGCAGAGGGGCGAGGGCCACTCCTCGCCCACAAATCAAAAACCTACAGCTGAAAGAGGCGAAGAGTGGAAGAAAAGGGTCTCAGGGAAATAGCTGGAGTGGTCAGGAGTTTGGTGGAAAAGACTGAAAATAAGATTTGGGAGTGGGGGGACTCCAGGGGCAAGGAAGCCTGAGAAGGACAGAAAAGCAGACCAGGGACTCCGTGATGACCCCACCACCCCAGTCCTGCAGGTGGCCACTGTCCCTTCACCTTTGCAGACTCAGATGGACAAAAGGAGACTTGACCACGGTTACAGAGCAGATGCTCCGGTCCCCAAAAGGGTATGACCGGAAGGAGGGGGAAGGAGATGGGGGTCAAGTGGGGTCAGTGGACGGTGCCTCCAGCAGCAGCACAAGAAGAGGGGGTGTTGAGGACTTGGCCTGCAAGGTAGCCCCAAGTAGTAGCCTAGGTGACACTGGAGGAGGAAGTCACAAGAGGACCTCACCCTTGCCTTTTGTCTAAAAATCAAATCAAGAAATGGAGGTACAGGAGAGGATGCTAATAAGAACCAGAAACAGCAGGAGATGGTTGGAGAGAGACCCCCGTTCTAGTTCCTATTCTCCTCTGTCGGCCCGAGCAGCTGCTTTAGGTAAAATCTTTTTTTTTTTTTTGGTATTGAGAGACATGGTCTCACTAAGTTGCTGAAGCTGTCCTTGAACTTGTGATCCTCCTGCCTCATCCTTCCAAGTCACTGGGATTACAGGCATACGCCACAGCACCAGGCTCGGGTACGTCTTAAAGATGAACAGGAGAGGGGCTGGGGTCGTGGCTTAGCGGCAGAGCGCTCGCCTAGCATGCGTGAGGCACTGGGTTCGATCCTCAGCACCACATAAAAATTATTGTGTCCACCTACAACTAAAAAATATATATTTAATAAAAAAAAAAAAAAAAAAGATGAACAGGGGAGGCCTATGCCACCTACCAAGGGGGCTCACACCCCTACTTAAACCTGCTGCTCAACACGCAGATGTCACCAGTGCCCTGGCGCCAACTACTCCTGTCCTTCCATTTTGACGATGAACCCTCTGGTTGGTACTCCTCCTCTGCCAAAATACCTTTTTTTAATTTTAAAATTAAAAAAAAAAAAATTGGGGGGTGCGGGTGTTGGTGGGGCTGGGGACAGAACCCAGGTCCTCATGCATACAGGGCAAGTGCTCCACAGTGCCCCTGCCCAGTCTCTTTCCGAGCCATAAAACGGGGGACCATGTCTCCTTCAGTGTAGTCCCAATCTTCACAAAAAACACCTGGGGGAAGGCCCCTTTAGACATGGAAGTCCTATGAGTCACACCATGATCAAGTGTCTGAGCCACACCCCCAGCCCTTTTCTATTTTGAGACTGGGTTTCACTAAGTTGCTTAGGGCCTTGCTAAGTTTTGAAGCTGGCCTTGAACTTGTGATCCTCCTGCCTCAGCCTCCGGAGTTGCTGGGATTACAGGTGTGGATCACTGCACCTGGCAGAGCTACTGTTAAGTCAACTAAAATAAAATATGAAGCTCCACTTCTGGTCACAGCTTGAGGGTTCCACAGCCACAGGTGGTTAGTGGCCACCAGTGTGCACAGTGCAGATATAAGACCTTTAGGGTACAACATTCCATTGGCAACGCGGGCGGTGGAGGAGGGAGCACCGAGAGAGAAGCGGATTTAAACACCTAGGGAAGGAGGCAGCTGAGCGGAGAGTATGGCTATGACAAAGGACAGGAAGCAAGAAGCGGTCACACGGTGAAGGTGGCCAGGAGGGAAAGGCAGAGCGTGTCCCCCATGTCACACGGAGGGCAGCAGGAAGGACAGGTGGAGTCTGAGACGGAGTAGGGAACGACGTCACCTCTGCAGGGCAGAATGGGGGCTGGTGAAAGGGGTTTGGAGGGAGGATGAGGCGGCTGAGGAGCTGTGCTTCTGAGGCCAGCGATAAGATTAAAGGAGCCATGGGACAGATCTGAGGTCCTGGGGAACTTCCTCCAGCTGCGCCGAGGCTCGGGTGCAGGTGAGGAGTCACGCTGCCAAGCTGAGAAAACAGGAAGGCCGGGGCGCCCGGGGCCTGTGAGCAAGACTGCGGCCCAGGGCTGGGCCCGGACACCAGGCCACGCAGGCCACGCAGGAGGAAGGAGTGGGGGAGCGGGAGGAGGCGCACACCAAGACCAGGGCCACGTCTGCGGCCCCTGTGACCGAGCCCCACGCGCCACGACACAACCACTTCTGACTTCCAACAGCAGTGCTTTGGTCTGGGTCCCATGGGTGAAGCTCGGGTCTGGGGTCACCTACGTCCTGGCTCGGCAAACACTCTCCAAGTGACTCGGGCCTCCAGGTCGGCTTCTCTGGGCTTCTCCCCCAGGCACTGGGCGTGACCAGGAGTGCAAGTGCCTCCTGTCCTTCAGGAAGCACCAGGGAGCACTCTCTGCCACCCTCCACACGCCAGAGAAGGGGCTTTACCTGCCTGACTCAGGTCCCCCACTGGCAGCAGCCACAGGCTCCCAAGTGACCGTCCTTTCACTTCCCCAGATACCAAGGTGCTTCAGCCCCGCACAGCCCAATGCCTGCTTCTGCACTTCCAAACTCATTAGCACACCCCCCACCCCCCCACACCATACACCCCCCCACACCCTCACATTGGTTCCGTGTCATCTTAGGCCTGCTACCCCGGCTGAGCGAAGCAAATGGACAGAGACCACGGAGCCTGCATTTACTCTCTGACCACCTACAAAAAGGCCCTCCAGCCCTGACCACTCTCCTGGCCACCGTGCCACATGCAATCCTTATTCTGGCAGATCCCACACACACAGCGTCACGAGTCTTCCCCGGGCCACCTCCGTCAGCACCTCGCAGCTGCAGAACCTCTGAACGGCACCGGCCGTGGGCAGCAGCAGAACCTCTGAACGGCACCGGCCGTGGGCAGCAGCACTCTCCAGCCTGGCCCTCCTCACGCGCCTCCTCACTCTGACACACTCACAGTCCCCTCACAGGCTGCTCAGTTCCTGTTTTAAGCTCACTTTTTTCAACTTCAATTCCAAAAGAAGCTTTTATCATTGCAACTCGTTCAAATTACCGTCAGGAAAGCCAAGCTGCAGGGCGATATTCTGGGGCTACCACGCCACTAGACCTGAAGTCGCTTTGGCTCTGTTCTGAAACAGATCTGAGATGCCGTGGCATCTTAGTGCCACGCTGTGGCGTGACTGGAGGTTCCATCTGGGGACTACAAGGGAGCATGAAGGGCGGTGATTTTTTTTTTTTTTAAATATTTTTTAGTTGTTGATGGGCCTTTATTTTATTTATACGCGGTGCTGAGAATCGAACCCAGGGCCTCACACATGCCAGGCAAGCGTTCTACCACTGAGCCACGATCCCAGCCCGAGGGCGGTGCTTTTTTGACGGCACTTCAATCAAATCCAAGGCCAAGTTCACATCCTCCCTAGATTCACTCCTGCCACTCCACCATCTCCATCATCCAGTTCCCACCGGCCCTTCCAGGCCTGGCCTCTGGGGAACCTTGCCCACCTGACCACAGACACTGCTTCCTCTAAGCGCTCGGTGTGCACAAGTAACATTAAGTTTTTGGTCTCCAGCTGAAGAGAACCAGCAGGCAAAAAGGCCCTGGAGGAAAGGTTATAGGCAAGAACACTGAATTCAGCAAGACCGTCCTCAACAAGCAAGGCCTGGGCCTGAACCCACCTGCAGTGACCAGAACTGGTTTAGGAAAGTGCGGGGGAAAGACCACGGGGCTGAGAAAGAAGGGCGGCCCGAACCCCAGGAAAGAAATCCGCACATCTCAGAAAAGCCCCCAAACAGCCTGCCAGAGGGAAGGATGGTCCAGAAACACCGCCCACCTCCACACTGTCTTCACCTCCCTGAAGGCCCAAGGACCCTCAGGAGCTGACTTTACGGGGCTTTGCTTACCCTGGCATTTCCCAGGGCAGGACCCTGTGTCCAAATAGTGTCACGTGGGCCCCGGTAAACAAAACACAGGTAAATCCTGGCCAGTGCGGAGAAGTGTGGGGAAACTGCCTCGCCCAGCCACACCCTCACCCCTCAAGCCCGCCCAGCTGAGGCACCCCAAAGATCCCTAACAGCTTGAAAACCACTGCCCTAACCCTGGGCTCCCTGACAAGATGGCTCCCAACCTGCCCGCATGAAATGAAAGCGCCATTCGCCCACCAGGGGGCGACATACCAGAGCCTTGGTTGGAGCCTAAGAGAATGGAGGAGGGCGTCTCTCTGGAGCCAGAAAGGTCGAGGGTCTAGAAATACAAAGAAAGATGGACTCAGGGCACTGGGGCCAACGGAGCCCCCCAGGGAAACCCAGGGAGTCCTGGGAGTGCTCACTGCTCCCCCAGGGCATCTCGGTGCCCTCCACCTGGCGTGGTCCGTGGGGCCGAGTCGGACAGGTGTGCACACACCTGTGCTCTGGCTCCCAGACTCCTCCGGCGCGGGGGTGGCCCCTCCCTAGCACTCCAGTCTGAGCTTGAGAACCTTCCCTGTGGCCTGCACCCGCTGGCTGACCGACCCAACACCCGCACAGTCTGCTGCACCACAGAAGGAGAAATGGATCCTTTCACTTTGGAAGCCTCTTGTGAGGCAGTACCATCCCTGAGACCAGGGTCTCGACTGATAATCTGATGATGACGGCCAAAGTCCACAATGACTACAGACATAAAAGATGATCCGTGTGCCCCCTAAGATCGATGTCACGGGTACAGCCCAACGGGAGATGAGCGGGTGTGACCTTCATGGTCCAATATGGCAGCACCAGCCAGATGTGGCTACTTGCATCTAAGTGAACTAAGGTCAAGTTTACAAATCTGATGCTTGGTCTCGTTCGCCATCCCGAGTACTCCACAGCCGCAGGGGCTACGGGCAGCCACAGTGGGTGGGATCCTCCCCACCACAGAGTTCTCCTGGACGCGCTGCTCTAAACTGGGAGGGTCCCGAGAGCAGCTGCCAGGTCCTGCACAGCCGACTCAGCCTCGCCTTCTGGCCCGTCCACAGGGGCACGCCCTCGACCCCTGTCATCTGACTGTTCCAGACAGACCCAGACAGCATGGGACTTTGGTGGGTGGGACACACAAGGGCAAGGGTCCTTGACACAGAGGGTGGGTGGCACTGGCCAAGGCACAGGGGGTCCTCACCGAGCCACTGTCCTTGCTCTTCTCAGCTGACGGCTCCTTCTCTTTGGAGGCGCTGGTCGTGTCCGAGGCGGCTGGCTGGGCGCTGGAGGAGCCCCCCTGGGAGGGCTTGTTCCCAGTCTCTGTGTTCACCTCTGCGTCCGCTTCCTGCTGAGGGGCGGTGGCTGGGGACAAAGGGGACAGAGGGAAGCCATGGGAAGCCAAGCACAAGGGTTTCAGGCCCCGCGTGGAGCCCACTCCGCGCCCCATGGCGCCAGCGGCCAGGCCCCACCCAGGGTCCAGTGCAGACCCAGGGAGGCCAGGCACCCAGAGGTCTCCGAGTCGGGTTCTGTGAGAGCGCCTTGGCTTTCTAATACTCAGCGATTCAGTAAGTCATTCTGGAAGGGAAAGCGTGTTCTCGGAGCTAATGACCCCCGTCCACAAGAGCCCGCCATGACTTAGAGGCTGGTCCACCACAGCCCTGGACACTTGTTTTTGTCTGAGGCAGATGGGAAAGGCCCGTCAGAGAGCACAGAGCTTCTGGAGACGGTGGGAACAGTGGGCGCCGGACAGTGACGCATATAAACCAGGCTTCACCACGCCCAGAGAGCCGCAGGGCCCGCACGGGGCACCTCGCACACTCCAGACACCAGCGGAGTGCCACGCCGCGGCAGCAGGAGTCTAAAGACTGCGAGAAGACACCTCCCGTGGACGGCGCCAGAAAGTGAGTCGGCCACCGGTTCTGACGAATGACATCTTGTTGGCACACAGCCAGATTCTGCCTACAAAGCCTCAGATATTCACTAGGGCCTTCAGGTCCGCCGGCCCTGGACTGCCGTTTCTCGAGTTTGAATCACTCACACACACGCCAGCTCTGCAAATTTTGCTACAACATACAGCCTTGTGTTTTTTATATAATATTTTCAGTGAATTCTTTTAAATGGAGACTTTTGGGGGTGGGGGAAGTGCTCTGGATGGCACCCAGGGTGCTCTACCGCAAGCGGCACCCCAGCCCAAGACTTTCAATTCCAACCCCATAAAGCTAGAGGCCTTTGCCACAAAAGCTAGCTCTAAAGATTAACTTCTGAAGCGTCACTGATAAACCCCAAGGAGGCAGTCCTCTCTGCTGCGGCCTCAGCAACACAGGCCGCACACCTACACCCGGGCCTCCACGTAAGAATCCCCGTTATTTAGAGGTGTGGGTCTATTCTCACCCCCAAAACAGGATCGACCCGAGTGCTGCTGACATGGGGGCCGGCCCGCTCTGTCGTGGGGTTGCCCTCTGCCCCGCAGATGCCGAGGACCATCCCCGCCCTGAGAGAAGATCAAAAGCCCCGCACACGAGTCGGCAACCAGGCGCCCGTGATGGGCTCCGTCTGGGCGCCACGCTCATCAGCCGGCCGCCCTCGGCGCGGGGTCCCTGGGAGCCCAGGCCCCTGCCCTGCCGCCCGGGGTGCGCGCTACCTGACTGGGTGCAGGACTTCATGTGCTCGGGCCAGTGGGCCTGCTGGCAGGGGTAGTCGCAGTAGCTGGTGTTCCAGCAGCAGTAGAAGATGGCCTCCTTCCTGCAGTGGGCACACCACTGCTTCTTCTTGGTCTCGTCCACCGCCTGCTGCTTCTCCAGCTCCAGCTGCTTCTTCACCTCCGCAAGGAGCCGGTCCCGCTCCTGCTCCAGGCTCTGCCGCATCTCAGCCATGGTCAGCTCTGGGGGAGGGACGGGGGCGCAGGCTGCATCACTGACCCTGGCTGGGCACAGGGTGGCTGCACCCCCACACTCAGGCAGGGGTGTAAACCCCGACTTGGAAAGGCCCCCACCAGCTGGGTGTCTCTGGGCCCATGACACAGCCTCTCTGAGCCCAATCGTCATCTGTTAACAGGGAATCCGCCATTTGGGCCTACAGAGCCACAGGTGACAGTGTCCGTGAGGTCCCCAGTATGGAGACAAGAGGAGACCCATGGTGATTCTCAACCCCACAGGACGTCACAGGAATTCCTCAAACAGACCCTTCAAGTAATCATCAGCATATACTTTGTTTCCCTATCAAACACTGCCACAGCTTCTACTATCTGCAGGTGTGGCTTGAGGCACTTAATTAATTTGTGGAACCCTTCTAATAATTCTGAGGGGTAAGGACTACCATTCTGCTCCTCTCCCAGAGGGGGAAACGGGGTAGAGCAGGGCCTGGGACTCAGGGGTGTGTCTTGTGGCCCTAGATCCAAGGCACCCGAGGAACTCTGGGGCTGATCACTGTGCTAAGGACAAGTGTCAGGTCACCCAGCAATGAGAGTTCTCTAGGTTTCCCTCAGGCAGTCAAGACCAGTTATTTCAGAAAATAAGTCCACTTGCAAATCATTTGCAAGTGACCTGGGTAGAAATAAAGGAAAATGAATCATTGTTCAATTCCTGAAATACTCTTTCTGAAATTTAAAAAAATTTTCAGAAAAATTAATCCCTTATAAGGAAGACAAACACAGCAGGGAGCCGGGGCGCAGGCCCGTGATCCCAGAGACTGTGGAGGCTGAGACAGGAGGATCCAAGTTTGAGGTTAGCCTCCAGAATGTAGCAAGGCCCTCACCGATTTTTAAAAAGACCCTGTATCAAAAATCAAAAAAATAAAATAAAAGGACGGGGCTGTGGCTCAGTGGTTGAGTACTCCAATAAGGGGCGGGGACAAAGAAAACCACCACACGGTGGCAGATCTGAGCCTCCCAGCCACCCAATTGACACAGGGATTCAGGATAGAGAGGCATGCAGACTCTTAAAGGAGATACCACAAGCCACTGAGATTCAGAAAGCAGTTGCAAACCCTGCGAAATGAGGGAAATATGCAAACCCAGGAAAACCTGGGGGAAACTGTGTAGCCCCACCCGGGCTCCACCTCCAGCCCAGCTCGGACGCAGCCTCCCTGTAAATGTCAGCCCCGGCCCAGGCCAGGGCTGCTCCCACTCTCGGGCAGCCTGTGCTCGCCCGTCCTGCATCACCCTGCCTCTGCCTCTGCCTCTGCCTGGCTTGTGCTGAAAGTCTTTTCGGCCATGGACCACGCGGGACCCGTCTCCTCTGGGAACCCCGCAGACCCTACTCAGGAGACATCTCTTCGGATTTAATCATTTTTCTACGCTCTGGCTAAGCCGATTCCTAAAGAGACCCATGGGGAGGGTTTGTATTATGCATCCAGATTTCAGGTGAAGGGACTGAGGCACCAGCAAGTTACGGAGGAGTTGGAAGGTGAACCACTGTAAGTCGGTGACCGTCCTTGGTAGCCTCAAAGGAAAGCAGGGTTCCCACCAGTGACCTCTCCGGGTGAGCATCCCCAGGGTTCCGTGTGCCCACCCCCCTCAAGCACACAACAAATGGCGCGACCCACTGGCCCAGCGTTGACTCTGTCCACTTCCGGGCCCGACCTCAAGGCGCGAGGTTCCCCCCAGCCCTGCCCGGTGTAGGCCCAGCAGCCGGGACCCACCCAGGTTGTGCTTCATCTCAGAGAGCTCCTGCTGGTGCAGCCACTGCAGCTTCTCGATCTCGATCCTCAGCCTGCGGATCTGGAACGAGAAAAGCAGGTTCCGACGAGGCCCTGAGCGGGTCCAGCTGCTCCCCAGCAGGCCCCAAGAGCTCAGCCTCTCCTGACCAGAAGGGTCACAGGTGCCACGGGGCTGACTCGGGCAGCCAGGCTGGGCGCTGACCTTCCCCCAGCACCTGTCCGGGGATGGGAACCCCAGGTTGACCCAAATTCATGAGAAATGCTGGCTCTGAAGACCAGCGGAGAGCACCACCTACCATGGAAAGACCCGGCACTAGAAAAAGCCACTTAGAGTGAAGGACCAAGTCCCCCAAACAATACATCAAAAGTCTGGATAGAGGCGGGCACAGTGGCACAGCCTGTGATCCCAGAGGCTCAGGAAGGTGAGGCAGGAGGATGGCAAGTTCAAGGACAGCCTGACAGTTGAGCCAGACCCTGTCTCAAAGTAAACAGAAAGGCTGGGGTGAAGCTCAGTGTCAGAGCACCACTGGGTTCAATCCCCAGCACCCCAGAAACAATTTTTAAGAAAGTCTGCATTTTTGTCTAAGAAAATTTAATAAAGGTAGCGGTGACTTTTCACCTGATAAAACATCCAGGTGGAATCCATGATCATTCATCTGAAATTCCAAAGCCCAACGTCTTTGAAATGAAAGGGGGAGGATAACCCCAATTTGGACCGTATTGATTTAAAGGGAAAATAAGCTTGGACTGAACTGATCTGAGGGTTTTAATTATCAAGCGGCTTGGTCACTCATGACAATGACAATGTGGACTCACTTTGGTTGTCACAAGTGAGGATTACTACTGACACCTAGTGGGTAGAGGCCAGCGGTGCTGCTGAAGGACAGTCCCCAACACAAACGTCACAGGGGCTGAGGTTGAAAACTTCTGATTTACCCTGCGAGGGTGAACGACCTCATTTCAGTGCCAAAATCTCATGTCTAGTGGGCGGGGGAGGGGGCTGGATATCACCCTCCAAAATGGGAAAACAAGTGCGGCCCCCACCTGACCAGGGCTTCAGGTGAGACACTACGAACCCGCTCACCCCCAACCACAGGCGGGTTCTTAAAAGGAATTCTTAAATCCACTCCTCCTGACCCTTTATGTTCACACGGTTTTCCTTCAGAAACTCCCAGGTCCCCCCTTCTTGTCTGAGCAAAGCCAAGAACCCCGTCAGAGGCTGTGCATGGGACTCCCCACCTCCGTCCTCGCCCCTCAGGACTCCAGAAACCCTGCCACCCGCACTTCACCTGGTGACCTGCGAGCACCTGGCCCACGCTGTCCCGGCCGGCCACACAGCCAGCAGCGCATTCTCCAGGACTATCAGCCAGAGAGGGAATTCTGCAAACTGCACTAGAAAGTCCCTTTCCCAGGGGACAGTTTATGCTTCACCAGAAGTCTGGGGCTTCTCTGGGCCACCTGAGAATTTCTGAATGCAAATGCTTAAATCACGACTGCAGAGAGGCCCAGAAAGACCACGGCACTGATTCGACATGAAGCGGAAGGGCAGGTCTCCCGTCTCACCATGGACTAACTCTGGCTCAGACGGGGCTATCTATCACACCTGGACAAGTGGCACAGCTGCTGGCTGGGCATTGGGGAGGAAGTAGCCCGCCCACCCCTCACACAGCAGGGGCCGCGGCGACGGAGGCAGCCCGGGCAGCTCATGCGCCACGTCACCCTTATAGCAGCCTCTAAGGTCCAGAGCAAGTAAGGAATCCTGTCACCTCTGACCTCAGCGATTGTGCTTCCAGTAGTGTTCTTGGAAAGATCGTTGTATATTTCTGTCATCGTCCCTTTTATGGCATCCATCATCTGAAAGACAAAAACAAACAATCCACTCACCATCGGCGGCTTCTCCAGGCAACAGAACTAACATGGACATGGAGAAGGCAGCAGTGACCGTGCCCCTCCCAAGACACTGGTCCCCCTGCCCTGAAGACTAGTCCACAACTCTCATGCTAGTTTCTACACCCGCAAACTGAACCAGAAAGGCCCAACAGGACCCATCTGGTCCTGTCTAACACGGCAGGTTTGAGGGAGAGGGTGTCTTGTTACTGCCGTTGAGTTCTCTCTCACTCTCTCTCAGGGCTGGGAATGAAATCCAGGGGCTCGTGCATAGCAGGCAAGTGCTCTACCACTGACTTACACCCCCGCCCTTAATTAATTCTCCTTTTAAAAACACGTTTACTAGGGAAGCTGAGGCAGGAGGATCACAGGTTAAAGGCCAGAGAGTGAGACCCTGTGTCAAATTTTTTTAAAAATAAAGAGCCTCAGTAGTAAAGTGTCCCAGTATTCAATTCAATCCCGAGGGGGGGGGGGAGAATATCCACAACATACCATGTAAACTGTATATTGCAATCTTATTAAAATGTAAATTTATTTATTTTTAACTTTTTTAAGTTGTTGCTAGACCTTTATTTGGTTTATTTATCTGCAGTACTGAGAATCAAACCCAGTGCCTCACACATGCCAGGCCAGTGCGTTACCTCTGAGCCACATCCCCAGCCCCTAATGCAGTGGTTTTTAGGGACTGAGTGCCAGGGTCGTAGCTCAGTGACAGGATAGGTCCACAACATGTTTAACAGGCACAAGGGCCTGGGTTCAGTCCCCAGTGCATGCTCAAACATGCACACAAAACACCAATGGCTTTTCAAATATTTGAAGTGACTCATTCGTCACCATAAATCAATTCCAGAACATTTTCATTACTCCCCAAAGAACGCCCGCGCCTTGTTAGTCTCCACCCCTCCAATGTCCCCATCCTGCACCTCCCAGGTCTCTGACAACCCTGGCCCTTTTCTGGTACTAGAGACTGAACCCAGTCAGGGGAACTTTCCCTCTGAGCTCACCCCCAGTCCACTTTATTTTTTATATTGAGGCAGGGTCTCGCTAAGTAGCCCCCGCTGGCCTCAAACCTGTGCTCCTCCTGCCTTGGCCTCACACTGCCGCGATCACAGGCGTGCCCAGCTGTCCATCAAACCTCAACCTGCCCTCTACCCTACAGGTTTGCTTATTCCAACCATTTCCTGTAAATGAACTCGTGCAACACGCAGGCCCTGGTGCTGGCTCGAGGCCTGCGCACCTGCAACGTCTCATTCCTTTGCAGCCTGCCAGGTGGACTTGGCCATTTGCCATTTTAATGCCCTCAGCCCAGGCACTGCCTGCCTACTTCATTCCCATCTTCCTTCCCTTTAACGAGTCTCTCAAGGCACCGGTCAGCCTGTGAAACCAGCCAGGGCGAGGGAGAGAGAGAGAGAGAGAGGAGGAGACGAATCCACAACCACCCAAAGACCTGCTGACCAAATGTGTTTGTGGGAAGACCTTCTCTCCTCCTTCCCCCGCCACAGGGGCCAGCAGGGGCCAGCAGAGAGGTCTGTCAGGCCTGCTCTGACAGCGGCCAATCTCTCCTGGGCTTTCCTAAGCTCCAGCTCAGAGGGAAGGCAGGACAAAGGACACCCTGCATCCAATGCCTCTGTCCCCCCATAGTTTCTCACCTTCCCTGGAACAAAGCCAGGTGCCAACAGAGCACCCAGCGGGGTGTGCACAAGGGACTGGGAAAACCAGGCCAAGGCCGCCCGGGCCTGCCCACCAGTGGGGAGGTGGCCATAAAGGAATGCCTGTTCGCATTCTGTTTTGCACAAAAACAAATCCATGTGAGCACGCAACTGCATGACAGTCAAATGAGTGAAATATCTGTTGCGAGTCCCGCCCTCCTCAGGCTTCCGCCAGGATACGCACTTTCTGCTGTGCGTGGTGCCCAGGGGGTCCTTCTTCACGGACCCCTGGGCTCTGCTGCCAGGCACATCCACAGAAAGCATTGGACCAAACGGCCTCACAAGAAAACGCGGGACAGTAGGGGAGACTCAATACGCCGCGAAGGCAACGCTGACTTTGCATTTTAAAGATGGACTTGTGGAGTGACTTCCACGCCTACTTCCAAATACAGCCAAGACCTCGGAATCAATAAGGAAGGCATTTCTGCCAAAACGCAGAAACCCGCGCCTCCAACGTCAGGTCACCTCAGAGACAGAAAAGTTCATCAGGAACACCCCACCCCCATCCCCCAAAATGACCCTGTTCATTCTTTTAAATGGTGAAGAAAACGTCCCTGGAAACAGGTCCTGCCTCAGAGGAAAGGGGACTGCAGGGGGCGGTGGAAGGCCCATGGCCACAGGAACCGGGAACATGAGCTTAGTGTCAGTGATAAGCCTGACCACCCGGCTGGCCTCAGTTTACCTATCTGTAAATAAATAGCTGGGACTATTTATCAAAGGAGGGGGATACCAGGGACAAATGCACATTGAAAAACAGACAGACAATACCAGATACCACCTTACATCGATACTGAAAACACGTCCCCATCAGCCCTCTTCCAACCCCACAGAGCCGTAGCAAGAAAGACTCCCCGGGGGTGGGGGCTGTGACATCCCCGTCAGTCTCCCTCCAGGTCCAAGCCTTGACACAAACAGCATCTGGTGAGATTAAGCTTCATTTATTTAGGTTTTTAAACCGAGCGGATTTAAATAGCAGGAATTAAGTGTAAATAAAAATATTAACTCAAAACTGGCTCAGGTGACGAACAGGCCAGAAAACCATCGCGAGTGGCACGTCGCTGACCCTGGAATCCTCCCTGGTTGGAACCTCGGGGACCCTGAACCCCTGGGTCAGCTGTCCTCTGCTCCAGCACTCAAGGAAAGCCTGTCCTTCATGAGCAGCCTGAATGCCAAAGGGGACTCCAGCGCCTTATGGATTTTATGGGCTGGTTTTAGGATCTAAGCCTTCCTGGCGTGAGATTGAGTCCGCCCTCAATACCCCGCTGAGAACGGACTTCAGAGCCAGTGCGGAACAGGGTCCTCTGCCGGGGCCCCCCCGCGGCAGCCCACCCGGCGCCCGCCACTCACCTTGCTCGTGTACTTGGCGATGTCGGCGGCGACGTCGGCCGAGGCGGTGGCGATGGGCAGGTCGGCGCTGACGGACGACGCGAGGGTGCTTGTGCAGCCCGAGCTGCTGATCAGGGGGGATGGCTGCGTGCTGGTCACCAGGGTGATGGTGGACGTGGACGGGCTCTGCGTGACCTCCTTCTGCTGGACAGCTAGGAGAACAAAGGGTCCTGGTCACCCCAGAAACATAGGAAGGGCTGTCCCAGCACAACAATGTGGTGACAAGTGCAGCCCAGCCCTTGACGCACCTTGTGGGCTTCTCTACTCTAAAGTGACCAAAGGAGCCAGGCTAGGTCCCAACCCCAGTAGAAAAACTTGAGCAAACATGAACCACCTCTGAGAACTCAAGGTTGTGAGGCAGCCCTGGTGCCCCGAGTGCCCGGGGCAGACTCCAGGTGCCCAAGGAACCCCAGCTGGTTCCGACCTGCAACAGGGCAACGGAAGAGGGGGCTCTGTCTTCCAGCCCCACGGGAGGGGAGGCGCCTCACCACCCTGGATGGCCCAGCCCTTCTGCCCCCATATTGTCCAACTCTCCTGACTCTCCTGAGCCCCCACTTCACCCTCCTTGCTCCCTCAACCTACCTACAGGCCCCAAACCTCCACACAGGTCAAAGCAGAGGTCAGTTCACCTGGACTCCCTGACTAGCGCACCAGTGTATGACTGATTAAAAACCAGTCTTACCACCTTAACTAGTGGTGCGGGAGTGCCCAGCTGATTCAGGTGTGTCTTACCACCTTAACAACTGATGCAAACATGCCATCAGTCCTTGTCACTTTATTTTGAGACAATTGGAAAGCTGAGGACCATAACGTCCACGAGTCTTTCTGGCAGCACCAAGCCTCCCCCTGGGGAAGGACCATCTGCTCACGGGGTAGGAAGACAAGACGTACTTATCCTCATCTCCAGCAACCTAGATCCAGCTCCGTCCCAACAACTGTTCTTTTTTGAACCAGGGATTGAACTCAGGGCACTGGACCACTGAGCCACATCCCCAGTCCTATTTGGTATTTTATTTAGGGACAGGGTCTCACTGAGTTGCTTAGCGCCTCGCCTTTGCTGAGGCTGGCTTTGAACTCGCGATCCTCCTGCCTCAGCCTCCCGAGCTGCTGGGATTGCAGGCGTGGGCCACTGCGCCCAGCTCCAACCAAGTTTTAAGCACTAGGGTCACTTCAACTGTCTTCCAACTTGACCTCTCCAGTTTTCCACTCCTTCCTCTCCCATTCCCCAATCTTTGGAGGGTTACATGGGCCTCCTCTGAGGTCCAGCGACCTTTTTACCTTGCATCCTGCTGCTAATCAGAAGGCCTGCTCACCAGGGTGCACTCACTAGGAGACTTTCAATCAGGGGCCCCACCTTCCAGGATCTGGAGGAGGTTCCCCGAGGAACCAGATGTACCCCAGCCTCACAAATCTGGGCAAACTGACCCTGGGCAGATCGGCCCTGTGTGTGCCCTGACGTCAGCTGCAGATGGAGCGTCCTACTTTCTGGTGGGAGTTTCAATTCTGCAACTTCAGCAAGCAGTTCCTGCCGCTGGCCTATCTCATGGGTGTGGCAAATCCCTGGTTTTCAGAGTAAGCTTTGCTGTCAACCTCTCACACAGTACTCTTCCCAAAACAAGGCCAAGGGCTTTGCTCATGTGCCCGTGGAAACACTACACAAAGGCACAACTTTCTTTGCAGCACTGCTTATGGTAGGAAAAAAAATGGAAGTAACCTAAGCCCACCGGGAAGGAAATGCTTTACATAAACTAGGGAATACTACGCAGCAGTCCAAAAGAAGAAGGCAGGGCCGTATGCTGGGACACAGGCAGACCTCGAAACATGCTGATGGGTGAGAAAAAAAAAAGCAAGTATGGTACCATTTTTATGTGTTAAGAAAAAAAGGGGAAAATAAGTACTTTTATGGTGTCGTGTGTGTGGGTGTGTGGGGGTCGGTGTGTGTAGATACTTGTGCGTACATGCATAGGAAAGGGTTTTAGGTGACTGATCGTGGCTACCGAGGAAGGAAGGACAATGAAATGGAAGGTGAACGGGCAACACTCAACAAAATTCTATATAAACATCCTGTCCCCTTTCGAAGGAGAAGAGAGGCATGTATCACCTTAAAAAAAAAAAAATCTTTTAAGTGAAAAAGTGAGTTGCAAACCAACTTTAAAAAAAATAACACCAAATGGAACGTGCGAGGCCCTCAGGACACGATGGCCGGAACACAAACGGGAGGGAAAAAACAAAACGGCAATGGTGTTTGTCCTGCCGATGTGGCAACGGGAGTGGGCGCCACGCAGAGCAGAAGGGGGCTGTACCTTTCACAGCCTGTCTGGTCTGATATCTCGTCCCCTGGGAAGACTGAGGCTGCTGCTGGCTGTGCTGCTGCTGCTGCTGCTGCTGCTGACGCTGCATCTTCTGCATGTGCCACTTTTGGGAGGACGTTTGAAACTTACTTGATGAGTTCCACACGACCCGCTGCACGGCCGGGGCAGTCTCCTTCGGTAAGAGCGGCCTCTGCTTTTTCACCGGGCTTCCTGTGACGGCGGGGGCCGGCGCGGTGACCGTGACGGTGGATGTCGTGCTGGTGGTGGCCGGGACGCCGGCCACGGGGGTTTGGGAGGAGGAGCGGGTGGGCACCGGCGTCTCGGGGGGAGACTGGCTGCCCGAAGTCGTGGACGGCGGCGCTTTACCAACGACTACAGCCAGGGCGTGGAGACAGACAGACAAACAGAGCAGGTTGGACTCGGTTCCGGCAGGGTCCTGCCTTGAGTTCTGGGCAAAACCAACCAAAGCCAGGGGTGCCCAGGGAGGTCCGCACCAGGCGCCCACCCAGGAGCAGCATCTCACCTCCACTGAGCCCGGCTGGCATCGAGACCCCAGCCACGACCCCTGGGGGTCAGGAGGTGAACACGACCCCCCACCAGGGAACGAAGCCGTGGGAGATAGAATCCCTGCGAGTGCTTGTCCGAGAAAGGACTCCTCCAGAGGGGCAGGGGAAGCCCTTAGCTAGGGATCCCCTAACACCCGCACCCCAAGAACCAGACGGCCTCTCCCCTGCCAACCACTGAGCAGCACGGAGCCACCCGCCCAGAAAGAAAAGCCCCCCCTGTCTCCTCCAATTCCCTCCAGGACAACGTCCCAGGGAGGTGCTGACACTAAAAGGAACTCTGCCCCACGCAGGGCCAGAACCTCCCCAGCACAGTCACTCTGCGAGTTTTAGCTCTGGACGTCTGCTGGCCCTGCCGTCTCGTGTCCACGCACACAGTCCAGGCTCTCCTAGTGTGTGGTGGTCACGTGTAACGTGTTCGCGGTTTCTTTTAATACCGTCAACAACTACACAGGCAGGACTTGAGAATCACAGAAACCGTGCATGTGAAGGCCTGAGGTGGCGCCCGCGGCGCTGCGGTCTTCCTGGAGGAGCGGGGCTGGGGCTTCACCCGGCAGAGCGAGGACAGAGGGAGGAGCCCGGGCCATGGCAGGGCCACCGCGGTAAGGAGACAGCGGGGCAGGAGCGGCCGAGGCAGAAGAGCCAAAAGCACTGAGAGAGCAGGGGGCTCGTTCAGCCAGGGGGTTGCTCATGGCCACCGAAGTCCCAACCGTGGATCAGGTGGACTTGGCCCCAAGAGGACATCAGGGAACACACTGCGAACACGGGTGCGGGTCAACCGTCCCCGACCTCAGACTCCGTGCTGCCTGGACATCAAACTCCGCAAATGAAACACGAGGGCGCGATGAAGGGAGGACGCCCAGGACGCCGTGGGGTTTAGGGGCCGCGAGAAGGAAGCTGAGGGGCAGCAGCTGGCCGACTCCGGGCCGGCCTGGGGCAGCCCTCCTGCTTCCCTGGAGGGCAGCACTCAGCCGGCTGCTGGGCATCAGCCCAAGTGGGGCTGGGCAGGGTCCCTTCCTGCAATGAGGGGTCCCGATCTTTCCTGGGTGACCTACGAGTACTGGACACAGCCCCTGCCCCTTCCAGGTACACAGGAGGCGTTCCCCTGGGCTCTACTGAGAGCCAGACCGCTCCCCACGTTATCATTTAGGCAAGTTTTAATTTCTAGGTTATTCTGATGACTGGTGGGGAGGAATCTCAAGGAAACTTCACTGGCTAGAAATCTGGGGTATATAATCACCCAAAATTCATCCCAAAAGGGTGAAGCCTTTACAGGGCCGGCACCCAGGGAGCTGCCCATTCAGATTCCCTGACATATTCCAGAACTTGCCACCCTGCATTAGCATCCCGGTGGGGAAGGGTGACGGGACTCCTGGGCGCAGCAGGGAGCAGGTCTGCTCTGAAGGTACCTACTCCACCACACGCCGCACTCCACGCTGAGGGTGAGTGGGAGTCCCCACGGCACCGTCCCAAACGCCCTTCCCTTCAACTGAGCAGAAGCGAAGGCGCTTGGTGGGGACCCTGCTCCACTGCAGAGTCCAAGGCTGAGCCTTCGAGACCCGAACCACCACGCAGGCTCTGGATTTAAGATCATTCGATTTTTCCTAATCGCTAAGAAGCTGCCAACTGAACTGGGTTCTAGAATCTTCTGCTCCACCATCCAGCATCCACTCGGGGCTCCAGGAGAAGTTTCCTGGAGACATCAGCGTGAGGAAAAGCTCTTTTTTTTTTTTTCAACAACTGGATTAATTTTGAGTTTTTGGAGAGTGTGAGATCTCTTAAGGATCTCTTCCTTTTTGCTTTCACGGCCAGGAAGCTCAGAGCCCAACTCTAAACCCTGACAGCACGTACTTTTGCCTAAAATTGCTGCCCAGTTATTCTACCTTCTTTTCCCTTTTACACTGACTTCTCTATTTTCCTTCTGTTTCATGGTTATGCATTCTTGTCAATCTGTGCAAATCCTGTCTGGAAGAGGAAGGGGCATGGAATGAATCAACCAAAAGGCCTGTTCCAGAAAGAACAGAACAGTATAACTGTGCCCCGGGAGTCCTGTACCACCTACACCCAGATCACACTTCCACCATCCTCACGGAACACATGCTGCTGCTGCTGCCCGTTTTCTCTGCAACAATAAAGAGCAGCCTCTCAGAACTCAACGCATGACGTCACTGTTTTTCAGAAGCATCTATGAATCTCTGAGATGGCCAGGGACGTCTCCTTTCCCTCTCCCCTCCTGCACGCTTCAGAGACATCCTGTTCTCTTTTCCTGAGCGGCGGGATACCCTCTCTCCCCACTAACAATTGAGACTCCACAGCAGCAAGATTCTCCACACACACTGAGACCTTGCTTTAAGCCAGCAGGCTGGGGAAATTCAAAGGACACAGGCTCCCATCTTAGTCAATGGTTTGGATAAGAAGTTAGCAGCTGTCAGAAGTAAGGCATAGTCAAAAATCAAACCTGGCTACGCTGTAAGTTACCCACAAAGTACATGAGGCTTTATGGCCTTGACCTCTAATCTGTCCTCAGGCAACATTTCTCCAGGGACCCTTAATTAATTCTTGAGTACCTTCCGTGGGCATGCTGGGCTCCACCCACCACCCATTTGCCAAGCCAGCTGGAAAATGTGCTGACGGCTTTGTCGGGGCAAGAACACCCTCCAACTCATTCCCAAGCTCCTGCTAGAGGGTTTTCCTGCGGAGACAGGGTGCCCATGCCCTCCAGGGACACCTAACAGCCAACACCAGGACCTCTACCTGGTGGTAGAGGCCAGGATGCTCCTAGACACCCTCCACGGGACAGAGAACTCTGTAGGGCCAAGTGTCACTAGTGCCAGGCCGAGCAGCCCAGGGCTCGGGTCAGCTAAATGAACAGGACGGACATCAAATCAGGTGGCATGTCACCAGACACTGCCCCTTGGGTTTCTAGGTCCTCGAAAGGCTCTCGGGCACTCGGGTACCACTTACCAAACAGTTTCACATTCTCGTAAGAAAATGTACCTGGTAATGCCTGAGTAGCATGAGGGACAGACAGGAAGCTGGACTAAGGAGGACCTTTGACTGAGCCTGGTCAGAGGTTGACATGTCAACAAACACTTCAGGGACATGAGTGAGCCTGTTGGAAAAGCAGTGGCTTAGGCTAAAGAGGACTTCACTAAAACCAACTACCGTTTTCTAAGTGCTTCCTTGCTGGGCTCCCAATCAATCATGGTGGGCACTGAGCAGGCCAAGGTCAGGGGGCCTACACCCAAGCCCTGGTCCTGTTCTGTCCTCAGCCTGGGAACGTAAGGCCGTCCAAGCTTTCCTTGCTGCCCGGTGTTGGGGGCCCCGTGGCTTCTGCCAACACAAGGGCCGGGGGCGTTCCAAGCCCAGTGAGAACCTGCAGACGGACACAAGGACTTACCGTCCTGCTTGGGAGGTGGCTCTTTGGGTTCCTTCTTATTTTTCCGGCCCTCCCGCCCAGGATGGTCGTCTCCCAAGTCTATGACAAGTTCACTCTCTGAATCCGAGTCCAGGCCCAAGTGCACCGTCGGGGAATCCGTCTCATCTTTGCCCTTCAGTTTGTCCTTGGCGGGATGCGGGGACGGCTTCGCTCTCTCGGCAGAGTCCCTCTCGGGCTCGGGGCTGGCCTTCGCGGCCACGGGCTCTGCCTTCTCGCCCACTGGAGACGCGCTCTTCGGCTCCTCGGGGACCTCCGCGGGGTTGGCGGGCTTGGGCTTTTTTTTGGCAGCGGGTGGCTCCTTGTCCAGCGCGCTGCTGTCCTTGTCCTCCGCGTCTTCCGGCTCATTCTTGGACTTCTGCTCGTCGTCACTGAGGTACTCACTGTCGCTACTCTCCGACTTCTCGGAATCCTCCGAGTCGCTGTGCTCCACGGCCGTGTACACGTCCTCCGAGATTTCATTGATGCCTAAATTCAAAAGAGAAAACCCGGCCTGTGGCGCAGTCACGAGAAGCAGGACCAGAAACGTGCAGATGGTTCCCATGCCAAAGGCTGGAGTGACAAAAACACACTCAAATCGCATCACACTGGCCCGAGGGACGGGAGTAAATGGAAGCAGCCACTGGACACAAGTGACCAGCGGGAGCCGTGTCTGCAGAGGCTTCGGGCCTTAGCCTTCAGAGGTGACCTGGGACCTCCCTACACATGATTAAACACGAGCAAGCTAAGTCTGCATCGCTGGTAGGAGAGGGAGAGGGCTGCAGGGACACAGGGACAAGCCACTCCAATCAGCCAACCCGCAGGTTAAAAAGTAGAGGCTCAGGGCTGGGGTCACAGCTCAGTGGTGGAGCGCCCGTCTCGCACATGCAAGGCCCTGGGTTCAATCCTCAGCACCACATAAACATAAATAAATAAAATAAAACGTACCGTGTCCATCTGCAACTAAAAAAACATATTAAAAAAAAAATAGAGGCTCAGAGGATCACCTGTCCTAGGACACAAAGACAACCAGGAGACAAAGCGGAAGGCGGATCCCGGGCTCGGACTCGTCACCAGCCTCCTCCAGGGTGCCTCCAAAGCCTCTGTGCCCTCACACCCTTGTCCAGGTCTCCAGAAGGAAGCCAAGGCCCTCGAGCCCACCCAGCCGCAGGCACCTTCACTGGGGACTGCCCTGCGGGCGGCACCCGTTTTGTCTGGGTTTTGCTTTTTCTAACTTAGGATTTGGTGCCCAACTCACCAAGATGGCGGGCAGAGTCAGCCAAGAGCAGAGGACTCACCTACTTTGGGACATAGGCCTGTGGCCAAGCAGCCTTGGGGAAGGGGCAGGGGTTCTTCAGGTAACCAGCAGGCCCCAGGACAGAGTGGACTGCTCACTGTTCTTCCACTCACAGGGGCCAAGATGGACTTGCATGTGCCCATGTCCACGGAAAGGGAAGAGCAGGGGCCAGGGATATGGCTCAGCGGGTACGGTGCTCGCCTCGCATGCACAAGGCCGGGGTTCAATCCCCAGCCCCACCAAAAGAAAAAAAAAGGTGGGGAGAGGGCACAAAACAGCAGGTGCTCCAACAGGGGAGAAGCCCCTCCAGCAGCAGTTCTGCTCAGCCCCACTGCGCTTCCTGCAATGCCCGAGTGTGGCCAGGCCACAGGTAAAACATACAGTGCCCAAAAATTAAGATCAGAAAGAAAACCCAATCGACTCTTTGGACTGCCTTCACTCAGGAGCAACGGCCTCTTGAATCGTCTTGACCTGGACACACCAAGCGAGACCCACAAGAGGACAAGAGCCATGAGGAGACCAGGACCGGGAGGTTGGCAGATCTCTAGGAAACACTTCTGCCTCCACCAGGGCCCGGCGTGGAGAACACCCAGGCGTGGTGTGGTTTTTAGATCTCAGGTTTGTGCTAGTGTAGCTAATGGCTGGACCCAAGAAAGACAAGCCGGACCACACGTGTGGTAAGTACCAGGTACCAGAATCAAAATGGTGACAATTTAAATCCTGCTCCTGGTGTCACTGGCTGTGTGACCTTGAACAAGTGATCCGCCTCTCTGAGCCTCGGTTTCTTCATCTGAAAAATGAGACTGAGAATAGTAGCGATCTCCCATAACGATGGATGCACTGTGCTGAGCACAGGGCAGGATGCACCAGAGGCACTCAGTAAACAGGAATGGGGGGCTTTACAAAGCTGTGTGGGAGGACCCAAGAGGGATTAAGTGACCGGCCCACCTGCGGGGACAGGTTCCTATAGACCCACTCAGGACAGATGTGAGACACTGGTGAGGCAGGGGCAGAGGAGAACTCAGCACCGTGAATCTTCAAGGCTGTCTTCACCAAGGATCACCTAAATAATTGACTAGCAGGTCCAGGACACTTTGCCATAAGTGGAAATACATTTTAGTTCCACTGGTGGTTCAAGGTCAGATCAGCCGCTAAGAGCAGCCAGGACTGGACCCTCACGGTCCAGGTGGATGTCATCGTCACAAACAATCAGAAACATTATTAGGAACAGCAAGCCACCAGAAGCCATACCTAACTGTGCTTTGCAGCTCTCTATGGTCTTGTCGAGATTCAGTTGGAACCTGCTGCGGATCTGCCGCTTGGGGGAGATGAGGGGCGCCGGGGTGGACTGCTGCTGCACGGACTCACTCAGCTCCTTCAGGTCCATCTCGGCTTTGCTGCGATCTGGAAGACACCACCGCACTCTCCTAAGCCCAGACTCAAGAGCGGTACTCACCACTGAGCTCCCCCCTGGCAACATGGAGGCTGGGGTGACGGCCAGTGAGCTCCCCCAGCAGGCGGACTCCCACGGGCGGCTTTCAGGTGTAAGCTGGAGGGTGCCAGGCAGAGAGTCTGTGGGACCCGAGACCCTCCAAAGCCAGAGGAGCTCGGTCTCAGAATCAGCAGGGAGAGAGCCCCCGGCAGCCAACACCTGCTCCAAACTCCCCAAGCCCAGTGAGGGGGGCCTGCACCAAATGAGGCTCGGGGCCCCTGGAGACACCTGGGGCTGGGGACCCTGGCTGCCTACCATCCACAGAGGGTTCCTTGGTCTTTCCTGATCTACCCAATCTGGGGGTCAAACTAGAAAAGGAAAACAGGGGAGAGGAGGTCTTCCGGCTATGGCTCCCTTCACCCGACCGCCTCCGTGGAGGCCAGGTAAGTAGATTCCTCCTGGACACTAACCTGTGACCAACAGGTCTCTCAGGTAAGAACCAAAGTTCCTCATCATGACTCCCAGGCAAAGCCCTCTGCGATGACATCCCCTAACCCAAGTCCCCTCCGTCACTCCGCCAAGGGCTCTTTGTATGACCAAATGGGCCAATGAGCCCATGTTGATGAACTTGCTCTCCCATCCCAAAGCCAGGTAAGAGGAAGAGAACTACGGTGGCCACAAAGTCCATAAAGCAGTGAGAGATCACGGGGGAGGGGAGCCTGTCTTTCCCTTGACCTGATCCCGTGGGGTCCCCTCCACCAACCCAGCCAACCCCAGAACACGGGTCAGAAAGCAGGTGACATCTGATCACCCTCCAGAGAGGAGAAGCCACCTCTGAGCCTGTTCCTAGCCCCTGTGGGCTCATCTCCTGGACTTCCCTTCACTCCCCTGCTGACCCCACACCCAAGGCAACCTATTCCCTGGCCGGTTAGGAAGCCCCAGGGGAGCATCCCAGAGCTTGCAAAGCTTTTGCTTGCTGTTCTCCTTCTGTTCTGGCATGAGCCAAAGCCCTTCACCTTCAACCAGAGCATTCTCCAGCACTGCGCATGGAGAAATAGTTCCTTTAGTGACCAGAAGGAGCGAGCTCCCCAAAGCCCCCACCCAACAGAAGCAACACACTGCTCTGACGACCTTCCTTCCCACCCAGGTTAACTGGGAAGGGCTCTTTTAGCAAAGACGCTACCGCTATGATTCCAGAACAGCACCCTCAGAGGTCCAGGTGTGCGCTGTGTGTTCACAGGCCCCTCGGGAGGCTGCTCAGAGAGGACCTCAAGGGAGGGAGGAAGCCTGGGAGGGAAGAACGTTCATTCAGATTTCCCCGAGGAAGAACCAGAAACTCACCTGCACCTGCCTCGACCTGCAGCTTACAAAGAGCATTGATAGTGAAACAGCAGCACAGCGCGCCAACCCCGCGCGAACTGAGGCTCACTGGAGTGCAAAACACCCCGTGCCTCTGCCTCAGGCGCTTTAATGTTAACGGGGTTAAAAACAAATCCGAAGAAACAAACCCCAAAATAAGAAATACACACGTCCTGACATACGGCAACCGTCAGGCCCTCAGAAACCCTGACTTACAGTCTGGGAGAGCTGGGGAAACCCCCCAGGTGACTCCTAGGGGCAGCTGGGGTTGAGGCCCTGGTGTAAGACCACTTCTGTGAGTAAACAGATCCCGCACGGCCTTCACCCCGGTAGCCGCACCGCCTCGTGGGGCTCATCAAGAGACAGCCCTCACCTGAGCCCTCGACCTGTGCGTGCACGTGTGTGCGCGTGCACACCTGTGATAGACGCGGCCCTTCAAGTTGACTCTAGGAAGGCTCACCTGCTGCACATTCACAGGAAGAACACAACCAAAGGAAAGCACTCTCTTTGACAAAATAAGGGTTCTCGCCTCCATCAACGGCTACTATGTCCGTTCTTGTTAAGAATAAGCCACCAGGGGCTGCGACTGAAGCGCAGGGCCAGAGCACTTGCCCAGCGCATGTGAGGCCCTGGGTTCAAGCCTCAGCACCACATAGAAAAGATTTAAAACATAAAATAAAATAAAGAGAATGGGTCCGTCTGCAACTAAAAAGAAAGAAAGAAAGAAAGAAAAAATAAACCACCAGCCAGGCACGGTGGCACACACCTGTAATTCCAGTGGCTCAGGAGGCTGAGGCAGGAGGCTCGAGAGTTCAAAGTCAGCCTCAGCAACTCAGTGTGAGGCCCTGTCTCTAAATAAAATATTAAAAAGGGCTGGGGATGTGGCTCAGTGGTTGAATGCTCCTGGGGTCAATCCCCAGTTCCAAAAAAAAAAAAAAAAGAAATCACCAAGTGGCGGGGCTGGGCTCAGGCCCTGGGACCTTGGGAGCCTTAGTATTTTGCAATCAGCAGCATTGGGGGCTCTCTCTCTCCTCCACAGGGAGAAGGAACACTTCCCTGTTCCTCTGGCTCGTGGTGGCTTATCAGGACTTCTCCCACCCCTGCCCTTCTATATCGGGACCATCTTCAGAATTCACTGTGCTGCCAGGATTTTGAACTTCTCAGTTGATATGAAGACAGCTCAGCCTATAAATGGAAGCCAGGAATTAAAAAAAAAAAAATACCCATGCTAGAGAAAGCCGCACGACCTTACGCTTCTGCAGGGAGCACAAATGAGAACAACCCCTTCAGAGGTCAACTTGGCAATCTCTCTCAAAATGCCAACTGCACGGGGCCTCGACCTCCACTCCACCTCTAGGAGTTTACCCTGCGGACACTGTCCCCCATGGCCAAAATCGGCATTCACTGTAGCTGTTTTCAAGAACCAAGAAATGGACAACAACCGGAGCCAATCAATAAGGTGCCTGGATAAATAGCTTAAAAGTAAACAGATCTCCTTTGTTTTAACGCCGCTGGCAAACTATGATGAGTGGACTTCCAGGAGCTACAGCATGGCGGCTCCTTCAAGGAGACAGTTCATTAGACAAGAGACCCCGGCAGAAGCCCCTCTCAACCAAAGCCCAGCAGAGGGCTTCCCAGCGCATTCGCTGTAAGGAAGTGGGAGAACATCTGGGCGGCATAGGCCCGGCTCACACCACGCTCCTCAGGAGTGGCTGGCTTCCGAGGGCCTGCCCTGCACAGGGACAAAGGTGGCCCCTGTCAGCGACAGCAGAAGGACAGCAGCGATGCTCCAGGCCAGACAGCTCTCCACTGCTCCCTCAGCACCTTCAACAGAGCACCTGGGCACACCGCCGCCACCACAGGAGCACTGGCCTGCTGGCCCTTCGCCTCTGCACCAGGGGCTCTAGGAGGAGGTGAGAATCCAGCACCGTGTTCTCGGCAGATTTCAGGTTTCGGGTGTGTGATTTATCGGTGCCATTGAATCACAGAAGGGGGCCTGAAACAAGCCAGCGGGACTGGGCTTCTGTCTGAAGGAGGAGACAGCAAGTGAGGGCAGCGAGCCGCTCCCACCCCCCACCCCCTGCACGGCAGCGCAGGAACCGTGACTCACCGAGCCCGGCCACGAAACCAGCTGCCAGCCCAGGGGCCGGGTCTTGTATTTTGGGTTTCTGTATTTAGCTCTCCAAGTCGAGTTTTATGATTTTCTTTTAATGCAGATGAGCCAGTTTTTATTTTAATTTGGGGCACTGGGGGGAATGGGGAGGGAAACTAGGGACACACTACCACTGAGCTGTATCTCCACAGCCTTTTTACAAATTTTGAGCCAGGGTCTCATTAAGATGCTTAGGGCCTTGCTAAGTTGCTGAGGCTGGTCTCAAACTTGGGATCCTCCTGCCTCGGCCTCCCCAGGCACTGGGATTACAGGTGTGCACCACTGCGCGAGCCCCAACAGCCAAGACTTTAAATCTAGGAGGGTACATGCTCATACGGGGAATTCTGAGCTTTAATTCCAAACGCAGACGCAATGGGCAGCAGCTTCCTCCTTTGTCCCCCATGTTATCACTGCCCAGAGGGAACCTTCACCTAACCCTGACCCCTGGGCTGGATTTGGGCCAAGCCCCACCCAAATCCTGTGTGACTGTGCACAGGTGACTTTGCTTCTCTGTGCCTCCCTTGCCCTTCCATAAAATGGGGCTGTCTTACCTACCTAAAAGGCTGTGCTGCTTGTTTATTTTAAAAAGTCATTTTAATCTACAGAGAGCAAAGTTCATTTTGGAGGAAATCCAGGTCTGTCTGAACAGAGGCACAGACGCACAAACCCCCCAGGCAAGACCTTGTCTCCAAGTGCTCCCTCCTGGTCTGCAGTCCAACCCTCCTCCACCCCAACCCCGGGCTGCTTCCATCACTGTGATTTTGCCTTTTCCAGTGTTCTGTCTGTCTGTCTGTCTGTTTGTTTTTGTTTTTGGGTTTTTTAATGGAATTCTGTTTTGTGAGACTGTTGCCGTCCGTCTGTCTCTGGCGCTCTGTATCTCTGCATCGCTCCTGTCTGGCGAAGGCCGTCACAGGGATAAACGTGACTAAGCCCACGAAGCTCGCGCTCAGCCCCAGGCAGGCTGCCCTTGCTGGACTTCAGGACCCGGTGGATCCTCGCCAACGAGGGACCTGAGACCCTACCCAGGCACCGCCCAGCTCACAGGCCTTCATCCCTGCTGGGAGGGAGGCAAAACTGCCCAGTGTGTCAGGGGCTGGGGGCCTCCAGGGAGGCGGCAGGAGCCCTGGCCTGCACCACTGCCCACGGCTGCGCCCCACCCACCAGACACGCCCCAGGAAGGGTCCTGCACTCCCACGTACGTGCGTCAAGCCACACTGAGAGACCCACAGTGTCACCAGGATGCCTGCCGGTCACCCCATTTAGGGAAGGAGCTATCCTGGCCGCAGGGGACTGGCAGAGAGGAACGCGGGGAGCAGGCCTCGCCCAGCCCGGCTGCTTGGGTGTGCAGGAGGGAGGAGGCGTGGGAAAGGAGGCCACCACTCTGGGGATTGTAGGAAACAGTCCATGTTCCCAAGGCAGCAAGTGGGTTCCCTTTTGTTCAGTCACTCTGAATCCGAACCCCAAGCCCCACCCTGAGTGCCCTGTTCCACCTGGGCTGCGGGAACAGGCAACCCAGCACGCAGGAGACCCGGGCTCCCAGGACAGACAGCTGGGCTCCACCTGGGCTGCTGGCGCTGCTGGGCACTCACCTCCCGCAGAGCTGGCCTCAGAGCGCCTGCCGCCAAGTGCCCTCTGCCCTCCCCACCTGGGGGGCCGACAAGCATCTTAGACTCCAAGGGGAGCTCCTGGCCCACAGCTCTGCCGCTGGCCAGGGAGTCGGCCCCATTACCGCGTGGTCCAGGAGTTCCACGCCATGAGGGTCCTGGGCACCGCAGGAGACTCAGCAGCACTGGGGACAGGCAAATGTCCCAGACATGACCCCATGTGGGGTGGAGACACAACTGACCAGGCAAATGACTGATCAACAGAAAGTTGTCCTTCTGACACCTCAGGTGGGCACAGGCCCCTCCAAACTCAGGGTCTGCAAGCCCTCAACGGACTCCCCTCCTGCCCCTGCCCACAGGATGCAGCCACCCCAGCCGCCTGGCCTCTCCTACAGCACAGCGAGAGGGTCCTCACCCACCACCTCTAGAACCTCTTCTTTCCCCTAGAATGTTCTTCCTCCGGTTATCGGCACGGCTGGCTCTTCCTCCCAGGTGTTTATGGAGGCGTGAACCTTCTTGCCCACCTCCCTCGAGTACCCTCCGGGGACCTGAAGCTTTGATACAGCCGGGTCCCTAGCTGGCGGGCTAACTTCTCCCAGGCCTACGATACTCCCAATACTAGGGCTCAACAAAAGCAGGAGTCATGGCAGAATGGCTCAAAATGACTTCGCACTTGGTTGTTTGGCATTACTAGTGCAAACTTGTAACACTTTGGCCTGACAGTTCTTTTTTCTCCTAACACAGTATTTTTTAAATAACCAACTAAAACCCAATGGATTAAAAAATAGTACTTCAAGGGATGAAAATCGATATCAGAAAATTAAAGGGAACAGGGTATCAGAGTACACTGGGCTCAGGAAAGTTAACACTGGTTCATGGAACTCATTTCGGCCACATGTATGTATTCACATCTCAGTGATCTGGCTTATAGGCTCAAGGAGAAACGAGCTTCTGAACACTGCCCTGAGGCCCTTCAAGACAAGAACAGCTGCAAATGGGTGTGGTGTCACATGCCTGTTATTCCAGTGACTCAGGAGGCTGAGGCCCGAGGACTGCAAGTTCAAGGCCAGCCTCAGTAACTCGGTGAGGCCATGCCAAAAACAAAACAGAGTTAAGGAGGGCTGGGGGCGTGACTCACCTCACCTTCACCCACTGCACCTTTTTAATTATCTGCACAGAGAAAAGAGTTCAAAGGTTCAAGAACCACACATAGAAAAAGGATTACAATTGCCAAGTCACAGTTGTCACAGAAAGACTCTGCCAGAGGTGCCAACTGACCCAGGTTAAGGTTCAGGATGCTTCCGGTGGTGGACGTCTTGTCCGTTTTCGTCATGATGGGCGCAGACGCTTGCGGGGAGAAAGGCTTCGGGCTGCCGGACAGACTCCCTGCCTGTCCCGTCTTCATGGAGGGTGGTGAGGCTGAAAAGGTATGGCACTGTTAGAAGACAGACTTACACACCGACAGGAGCGCTCGCAGGCACAGGTGGGGCGGGGGGACAGACGGGCGCGTGTTCCATTCTGGCCGGACCAGGGGCGTGTGGAAGGAGAGGGCGGGGCTGGCTGGTGGCTGATTTCCAGCGTCACCCGACACTGAACCGTTAAAGCCACCAGGAAGGCGGCCTCCCCAGTCCTCTATTAAACACAAAGCTCTAAGACAAATCGGCTAAGCTGCCCACAAAATTGGTTTGGCCCATCCACGGGTGTAAATCTCAAAATAAACATCAGTGAACTGCAGCAGCCCCCACGAGGTCCAGATGTGGAGATCAGGAGCCAGGCTCGAAAATGGCATGGCCTCTGCAGGCGGGGGGGGGGACGGGGGGACGGGACAGGGGCGGCTCACACAGCGCACACCTGCCGGGAAGCAGCCAGCCCCGGGGAGTTCTGCAGCAACTGGGCCAGAGGTTCCCAGGCTGCAGACAGCCCCGCTCAGGACCAGACGGAGGGAGCCGTTGGTGATTCTCCCCTCCTTCTGTGTTCGGAACTTCAACAGGGGGACGAAGGTGGTCCTGCCTGCGGCTTTGAACCTCAAACCACCTACCACCCACCTGCTGCCCCTGCGCCTCCCTTCGCTGGGGGAGAGAGGAGGAGGACAGAAACCAAGGAGCCAAGCAGAGCCCCCCCCCAGACCCTGCCCGCTGGCCCTGGCCACTCAACTGTATTGGGACTGTACCGTCGGGCCTGCTGGGCCCCTCTAAACCAGCTGGGTCTAAAACTGTGACCCACGACAAATGGCCAGTTCTCCTCAGACAGGCAAGAAACCTCTGAGGTGGCCTGGTCTTAACAGACAGCTACCGATGGCAAAGGGAGCAGGAATGAGACTCCCCAGGGACTTCAAAAGCGCTCGTCCACTGGGGCAGGGGCGGGCCTCCGGCCCCTCGCTTTCCCAACACAGATGTGCAGAAAAGGGACCCCACGGGCTCGCTCTGCGCACAGCTCCGAGGCTCGGTGTCCATTAGCCAAGCTCGGCCCGGCACCTGTCGACTTTCTCTTCATGTAATTTGGTGGGAAAGACTGTGGGGGCCTGGAGTAAGCAGGGGTCGGGGGGCAGACACTGCAGTTCAAATCCTAGCCCAGCTGCTGGCCTGCTGTGTGGCCTCGGGCAGGCGGCCCCGCAGCCCCAACCTGGCAGCAGCAGAGGGGGACTCTCAGAGCTTGATCCCGAGGGGAGGAGGAAGGCTACACCTCCTGTGGGAAGTGAGTCCCGCAACTGCCCGTCACCCGAGCCTCACCTGGAACCTACCAAGTGCTTGACCCTTGCTTGCTGTTGGGCACTGGTTTTCTATGTCCTCACTGACCTCGAAGGCTTCGGTTTCATCATTGAACCCGTGACTCTCAGCCAGAAGCGAATGCACCCCCTACCCCCCATCACCGCCCCCAGGACAGGACTGGCAATGTGCACGGGCAATTTTGGTGGCCAGCACGAGGGGAGCAGGGCTGCTGCTGGTATCTAGTGGGGAGAGACCCAGGACACGCTAAATGTCCTGTGACACCCCACAGCCAAGAACTACCTGGCCCCCAATGCCACATGGAAATCCTCGTCTCCCGTGAAGCGGGGGCAGGGGAGAGGGCTAGATGGGCCCATCCACTCATGGTTAGCAAGCGCTCAGTTAACGGGAGAAATCATCTTGAGAATTAGGTTTTAAAAATATTCAATTAGGTCCATTCTACTGTGAGGACGGGCAGACTGGCCCAGCCGTGGCACAGAGCAGTCCTTCAACTGGGGGCGTTGCTGCCACTATCACCGTCATTACCACGGGACACAAAGAAACAAGATGAACACAAGGGCATTTTAAGGAAACATGACCAGTAAGATCTTTACTGTGGATTTTAAAATAATTATTCGTGTATGTCGTACCTCCTTACAGACGAGATCTGTGGTAGCTAAAAAGATGCAGATAACGAATTCCCTGTGCAGATGGAGGACCAGAGCTTCTCTAATTCCTATAAACTATGATTCAGGAACTTCTCGGGAACTGACAAGGAGACCTAATCCTGAGAGACAGCAGAGCCGCTGAGCACACAGAACCCAACGCAGAAGAGTCCCCTGCTTACGGGGTCAAGTTGAAGTGAACAGCAGACAAGTGCAGTCAACAGGGGCTCTAGCAGGACAGTCCTACCTGAGATCCTGCTGGGAGTTTTAGCAACACACAGGGTGAAGTCATTTTTTTTTAACTGTTATATACATGCATGTGTATTAAAAATAATAATTGGAAGCTTTTAACTCTACGGATGCTTCCTTTGATAACCTTTAAATATTAGGATTGAAGAAATGGTCACACCACATGGCTGTGGCAAGAATGAGGTGGTCTCCACTGGTTTCCAGCGGAGACGGGTCTGGACAGCAGAGGGCCCACCCACCCCTCGGGGGTCTAGGACTGCAAAGCTTCACAGACTCGGGAAGGAACACAGCTTTGGGGTCATCTAGCAACCCACAGATCCCATCTGGGCAGAACTCTATCTCCTTAAGAAAGAGACCTCCCACACCACCTCCAAATGCACCTGTCCCACCTCCCCAGCCTGTGCAATGTCCTGTACCTGACCGTCCTCCTCCTACAGTTAATGCCATGACCATCCCCTGTTAGTTCAAGTCTAACACTTGCAATTCCTCGAGTGCCCTCGGGCCTCCAACGACCTGACTCTTCACCGGGGTCTGTGCACCCCACTTCACCCCGCCTCTCCGTGACCTCCACTCCTGCTGTCCTGTCTCCACACACGCTGCACAGGGTCCTGGAGGCCGGGGGTGTCCGGCTCCCCTTCTGTGTCAGGCACAGGGCACACACAGTACGAAACACACGTCCAACACAAGGCCCTGACCTGAAACCCAAAACGCTCCAGAACTGGACCTTTCCTTCTTGGCCCACACACTGGCCGCTGGTCCCCCAACGTCACCTCAGAGCTCTCCCCTGCTGGCCATCGAAGGTGACATCGGTTTATGGCTCCCTGTGTCTGTGAGAATGTCAGAGAGCAGTTCCTCCGGGCTACCGGACCCCCAGGTCACAGCCCAACTGTCCTGAGCACCTACTATGTTCACCCAAGAACGAGGACTCCGTTTCTCCTCTCCTTAAGGTGGTCATGACAAGCAACAAAGACACGATAAAGACATCCAAATACGACGTTTTCATACAGAAACTTCAGTGGAGTCCATCTTCATACGGTGCCCTACTACAAACAAGGCTGGGTGACCAGTGACACAAAGATATAGGGCCAGGGATGCAGCCACGACGGAGGGCACTTGTCGGGCATGCACAAGGCCCTGGGTTCCAGGAAAGAAAAGGGGAGGGGAGGAGAGGGGAGGACACAGCATATTGACGTGATGACACAGGAAGATGTCAAGTTGAAGGAAGTTGAAAGAAGCACTTGGGTCTCTTCCAAAGTATGCGGAATATTGTGTACTCAGGAAAAAGACACAAAATTAAACGTTAAAATTAAAATATTGAAGAACTTCAAACAATCATATCACCAATGCTAAGGTCCAAAAGACTGACATATGACATATATTAAATCCAAGGTTCTTAACTGGGACCGGAGGGGAAACTTTGCCCCCGGGGACATCTGACAATAAATGTGCGCAGACATTTTTGCCTGTTGCAATCCCGTGACGTGGGTGCTCCTGGCATCTCAGGGGAAGAGACCAGGGACACTGCTGGACATTCTGCAGTGCACAGGAGAGACCCCACAACAGACTTGTCCAGCCCAAATGTCAAGAGAGCCGGGGTTGAGAAATACTGCTTTAAATCATTCTAGACATTTCAATTAAACTTTGAAAACAGATGCCAATCCTTTTAGAAAGCCATAAATCTTGCCCAAAGGAAGAACTAACTGCCTTTGAAGTCACAAATAATTTAATCAGATTTTACACTTTGATGTACAATTCACAAGTGTGGGCTAAAACACATCATCTATTATCTCCATTTACAAAACCCTGGCCTGAGCTAAGTGCTATTCTGACTCCATGAAACATAGGAGTCTTAGAATTAAATTAGAAAAATGTGCCCCTCGTTCTCTCCCACACACCCGGCACTGGGGCGGGCGGGTGTGGGTGGAGGACTTAATGATTCATGCTAAATGTGCAGAACTCACAAAACTTGAAAACAACTTGTATGTTCAAGGCTGCACCTTGCACAAGCTCAGGTGCCTCGGGACAAGTGAGCGAGCGGCAGACTGACACCGGACGGTCTAGGGTGGGCTAAGAGGTGTTGGGCAAATGCTGTTTCTAAGGGTTATTTACTAACACAGAAACACACCTGGAGGGTTAAGATGCCAGGTGCAGTAGCATGTACCTGTGTCTCGGCTACTTGGGAGGCTGAGGCAGGAAGATCCCATGTATTCAGAAGTCCAAGGCCAGCCTGGTCAACACAGCAAGACCCCCATCTCAATAATGAAAGACAGTGAGGCTCAAAATTAAAACAACAACAACAACAAACATCCTACACCGTTTTCACCAGACATGGAAACCAGGGGATCCACGAACTAAAGCAGTTCACAAATACGTTCGATTCAGGATAAAGAAATTTTTAGAAAATTTGAGACAGAGCGTAAAAATTGGGGTAGTTTGCAATTGAAAAACCATTTGCGGATGCTCTTGAAATATCACCAATCTGGCAATATGAAGCCTGCTTAGCTCCCTTAGCCAGAACCAGCTGCAAGACAAGGCCCCAGTAGATCGGTCCACATTTTGAGAGCTACAGGTCAATCAAGACCCATTAGTGAGCTATAAGCATCTCCTTTACAATACAACAAAAACACACAGACATTAGCAATGCACCCCCTTATCAGAAGAATGAGCACGTGTGGCAGTGTTACCAAATGTGCACACAGGCAGACGTGTGCCAAGGTCGGGACAGCTGTGTCTTGCTGCTTTCTCACCACAGTCTCCACCATGTCTGACCTATGCATCTCCATAGCAGCCCGGTCCTTGGGGGACTATTTCAAGTTTTCAGTTTAATAGTGTGACCTATAAACCTACCCCCCAAAAGGCCCTAAAATAACATCGGAGGGCTGACTATGGGAGGTGGGATCGTTAGTGACTTTAGTTCTGGTAATTAACAATTATCTCACAACAAAGAAGTATTGATGTCACCATGAGATGGAGAACATAGAACCGCGTTCCCTGCTCCCTGACTGGTACCCCACAGTGGAGCTACGACACCAAAGGACCATTAGCCCCGAGAGGGGCGAGAGCAGGCCCCAGGGTGCTCCCCTAATTCACTTTAATGTCTTGCACGGGGATCCTGAAAGCCAATATTGGTGAAGGCATCAATTCTGGCCAGGAGGCCTACAGAAATGAGGAACCAGAAAAACCACTGAGAATGAGAACCACTTTGGCCATCAAGCCTGCGGGACTCCAGGAACCCGTGAGCTAACGGCTTCCCGCTGACCAAAGAGCTTCTCAGAGAGCAAATCCAGCCCGGAGAAGGAGGGCCCATGTCTGCGCCTCTAATCCTCCAAACAAAAGGGAGATTTCCAAAGTCTCTTAGAAATTTTACAGAATAACTTATTCCAATTTGTGGCTTTGTGCTGCGACTTGCGTATTTTGTCACTGTCATAAACTACTTATATGGTTTTCCTATCCTATGACATGACGGGTCTTCTCTTTAAAGCAGGATTTTGGATAAGCCACAGCTTTGTCTCCATTGTGTCGCATGGGGGCTGTTAATAGCTCCTGCTCCCTGTTTAAAAAAAAAAAAAAATGCTCCTGTGACTGGGACAGCAGAGGGCAGCAGGCTGCCGTGGAAGGAAGCAGGCTCTGTGCCTCCCCTGAGCTCTGCAGGGCACTGGATGGCACCCATGAAACGAGGACTCTGGCCCAGAGTTGCCCCTAACTCGTTCAGTCAGTAGAAGTGGTTGTCAAAGTTGGGCCACGGGCGGAATCTGACATTCCACCTGTTCCATGTGACCTGCAAACTACGAGGATTTGACATTTTTAGGTGGCTGGGAGGGAAGAAGGAATTAAAAGTTCATATAAAGCATGCAAGTCACACGAAATTCAAATTCCAGTGTCCACCAACAAGTTTTATTAGAACTCACCCACCTCATGTCTACAGCTGCAAAATACATCTTTAAGACCTAAAATATCTACTATTTGACCCCTTATAGAAACAGGGGCAATTTATAAGATTAAAATGACTCTGGCTGGGTGGGGTGGAGCATGCCTATAATCCCAGCTACCCTGGAGGCTATGCCAATGCCCTGCATTTGATCCCAGTGCCACCAAAAAAAAAAAAAAAAAAAAAAAACAACAACATTCTAAGTGTCATCCCTGTTTCCTACACTATTGGGCTCAGGATTAGCCAAGTCCCGAGCACATATTGAGCAAGAGAGTTATAATTTAGGAAAGAAACCCTGAAGTTTAAAGGGAATCTACTGGCTTCTCACCTAAAAACCCAAATGATGAGGAATTCTGTCACAAAGTCTAAGGCCATTTATCCCTCTCCTTTGCCGCTCCAGAAGGAAGAGAGAGGCTAAATTAAACACATTAGATGTGTTCTAATGGTACAAACTGTATTTTCTTGACATGTGGTCCAGGAGAACTAGTGGCACTTTACACACCAGCATTTTTTATTTTACTGTAGCAACTTATGTGTTAACATCAGTGAACTTCATGGCATTAAGGGAAAAAAAACAAGAAGCCATTTAAAAACAGGGGCTTACACCACATTTCACTTAGCAGAGGCCAAAGCTGAGTTGCAGATCCAATACCCAACAATGGAACAAAGCTCCACAGAAAGTGACGGGGACTCGCAGCGTAGCCACCAAAACTGAAATCCCACCTTCTCAAGCTCTCTATGAAAACCAAAAGGCCGAGGGTCCAGGGGATCCAGACCATCACAGAACCATGCATGGAATTAAAGTAAGATTTTAAGGACCTCTGGTCAGAAACAAGGGGACAAAAGGAAAGACCTTCTGACACTATCCACACAAGCTATGTGGCTCCAGGGACAACACCCTACAGCTGCACTGCGAGTCCGGGGGACCCCAGGGTACACGCAGAGCTGCAGTCTGTTATAACAAAGACCCTGCAGCCACCCAGCTCCAATGCTCTGCCTCCCTGCAGCCATCCAGGGACAGCGCAGCAGAATCAGTGTGAACCTCTGAGTGCACAGCCACCAAGTCCCCATCATTATTTTACCTTTAGGGTCATTAGCAGTCTCCTGAAGAGCGATGGCTGATCCTTCGGGACTCTCTTATCTTTAATGGCTCCACAGTCGTAATATACTAGTAAGTTCTATTGCTGGGCTCTAGTCTCCCATTGCTTATTATGATAAATTAAAAAAAAAAAATCTGAAGTGAAAATCGTTTTATGGTGCAAGTGGGAAGGCGGGGCGTCGACTGAAGGTGAGCATTTCAGCCCCAAGTCTAAAGCTGCTGCTCCAACTGCACATGTGCTACCCCAAGACATCTCAGCCTGACATTTAATCAGTGGAGATTTTACTTAAAAAATCCACATTTTCCATTTCTCTGGAAGAATATCAAGATCTGAAAGCCCCAAGGCCACATTCTTGCATGGCGGCCATGGGTGAAGTCCCTGAGATGAGGCACATGCCCTGGGTGTCCCCGTCTCCACCATTCTCAACAGCCAGCTAACCAGGAACCATCATGCTGGGTACAGAAGGTTCTCTGTGCCCATATCTCAAAGGCACAGCAACAAAAAACGTGATACCACAATTCAAGAAAAGGAGCAAAACCACTTCCTCATGAAGGCAATGACGTTCATAGAATATTCAACACATGACCGAATTCTTTTGGGGAAGAAAGAATTCTTTCAAGTCACCATTACTTTTCTCCCTCTCAGCCAGTAGTCATCACTGCTGACATCAGTTCCCTGACCCACGTGGGCAGCAGCACCAGGAGAAGCAGCAGCCAGCACTTGCTGTCTGGGGCACTGTCCTAAGTGCACCCCAACTCCTCTTACTTACAAGAACCTCCCAGGCAAACCGTTAAGATCCTCACGTTACAGAGGGGAAACCGAGGCACTGAGACCACAAGCACCCTGCCCCAATGCTCCACACACGTCCCTAATAAGCAGTGCAACTGTGAGACAGGTGACCCTGAAGGAGCAGGACAACTCCAGGGAGATCTGCAATGGCATTTTCATATCAACTCTATTTATTTTTTGAATATGGTGCTGAGGATCGAACGAAATACCTCTCATGTGCTAGGCAAGCGCTCTACACCAAGCCACGACCCCAGCCCCAAGGACTTTTTACCTTCTGTGTTTCTGTGATATTTGAGCACTGAATGTGAATGTACTGAAAAGTCAATTATTTAATTAAAATAAAATCCTTAAAGAAGAACAGTGTTATGGGGAGTTTGCTGTGATTAGTCCAAGAGGCAGTGACATTAGAAGTGAACTCTAAAAGGATTTCTGGCCACCTCCACCCAGGTGAAGGAATGAACTCTAGTGAGCCTTTTGGAAACACTAATCTCATTTGTAGGTCCCCCAGAGCAAGGATTCCATCTAATCACTCATTGAAAATTTGCAGGCAGGGAAGCAACATCCGGCAGTTCCCGCGGAGGCTGCGTGGTTCGGGCGCTGGCGCCCAAGGGGCCAGGGAGCCATCGGTGAATGGAGCGTGAACTACAGCGACCTACAGCAACCACGTTGGGCCATCAGGCGGGAAGCCTGGTATCAGGACTCCCAGGGGGACCGGCTGGTGGGAGAAGCCTGGTCCCCAGGGCGTCCTCCCCAGCTCGGGGCGTGACCCTGACTCACTACGGCCAACCCCACTGACCCCCCCACCCCGTTCTGGTGAAGCAGCAGCGGCCCGAGGCTGCGCCCACCGGAAACCGTGTTCCCACCCATCCAATCCCGTGACCGGCCGCTAGGAGCCGTCCAGCCCCCCTCTGGACTCGGCCTCGGTTCTGCGTTCCAGGCCTGATTTCGCGGCCAGCCCCACCCCGCGGGAGCCCTTTCCCTCGCCCACGTGGCCTCGGGTCCCCTGTCCCCCGCCCGGGGCTGACCGGTGCTCTTGTCCAGGAAGTCCATGGACTCCTCGCTGGCGCTGAAGTGGCTGGAGGTGGCCTTCTTGTCGGCGTCCTGCTCCACGTCGGAGCCCGTGTGCACCGAGGAGTTGGTGCTCATGGGCGAGCGCGGCATGTCCGACAGCGAGATGCGGCGGCCGGCGCCCGCGCCCAGCAGGGGCTTGCTCATGAGGATCTTGGGCGAGGCCGTCATGTCGAAGTTGAGCTTGACCTTCTCCTGCTTGTCCGTCTTGGCCGTGCCCGCGCCGGGGTTGGCGGGATCCAGCAGCATCTGGTACTGGCTGTTGGGCGTGTAGGGCGTCCTGAAGGGAGAGTAATTGAAGACCCCGAACTTCCTGCGGATGTTCTCCACGTAGACCTCCATCTCCTGCATGGCGCTGTTGAAGATGCTTTTGGTCTTTTTCACGGAAAAGGGAATTTCTTTAGACATGAGGTAGCAATTATTTATTGGAACCCAGGCCCTGGGAGGGCAAAAGAGAAAGAAAGTTCGAGTCAAATTTAGTGATTTTCAAGGCTTTTTTTTTTTTTTTCCTGAATACAAACCAAATTAGCCTAGCATGTTTGCCAAGATTCTTAAATACTTATTCTTTTTTAAAATAAATGACTTGGTTTCAATGTTTAATTAACGATCCACTTAACGGGCATGTTCTGCCACGAGGACAGAACACAGAACAGCAAAACTCAGCAAAGATAGTAATAGGATCGACAGTCTTAGTCATTTTAATCCATTAAACACACACACACACACACACACACACTCACACACAATAAATCCCCTCTGGTTTTGAGCTGGTAGAGAATTAAAAAAAAAAAAAAAGTTACTGCATTCCTCCAATGTACCCCCAAAAAGGGTATTCCCCAGATCTCCCTCAACTGCACATGGACACAAACAGCTTTCTTATTGCTATTCTAAAAGGGACTAGGACTTCGGAAACCCGTTCCTAGAAGGAGGTTCATGTTTGTGAATGTGAGATAATTCACAAGGGAAAATCACTGCAAAGCAGCCCTCCGAGCCTTCAGGTGGGCACACTCCAGTCCCATCTTCCCAGCTCCATGCCCCACGGCCCAGCACACTCCGCACAGACCCCTGACAGCAAGGGGGAAAAAAGAAAAAAACTGGCTGCTTCACAGAACCAGCGAGCCTCGTGGCTGCAGGAGGGGGCTGGCACACCTGGACAGACACTGTGGGTGATGGCACCGTCGGCACGGGGACATCAGAACACAGCCTGCAGCACTTTTGATGACCCAGCTCAAGAGGTTGTAACTGCTAAGTGGTGGGAATAAGGTCTTCCAGGGCATCCCTCTGGGTTTCACAGACAGGAGCTCAATCCAGGTATAAACCAAGGAGAAGCCAAGTGGGTGCTGGGAACGGATGCCTGCGCCTGCTCCCGGGGAGAAGCGGGCACCTACTCTCTGCTGTGCAGAGCAGTGGGAGCAGGACCTGGACCAAGAGTCCCCGCCTTCTCATGCTTTGAAAAGAAGCAAAACTGTGGGCTTCTAGCAGTACCTCTCCCCCTCGCCACAGTCCACCCTGAAGTCCTGTGCTTTAAGAGGAAGTAAGGCATCAGTGGGGGTGGGATGGAGCACACAGGTGCCTTATTGCCACTCTTGGCTTCTGACAATAGCGGCTCGTGACAGAAACCAAAAGTGAAAGACCCTGAAATGTCCAGCTGTTCTCTGAGTGTCAGAAATGACCAGCATCCTGACAGCCACCTTCCTGCTGCGGCCTGAAGCCTTACCTCCCTCAGGATCGGAAACAAAGGCCTCTCTCCAGTCGCTCGCAGGCCGGACAGGGCGGATCTGATAGGAGGTGAAGTCCCCAAGGCCTCCCCAGTGGAGCAGACACAGTGGACCTGAGCCAAGGGCCAGGCACCACCAGGGACTCCTGAGCCTGCAGCCACATCTTGTGACCCTGTTTCTGCCCAGACTTTTGTGTGCTTCAAGTACATAACTGTCTCCTCCCAAGTTCCTAGGTGCCTTCAAAGGGGCCTTGGGAAAGTGCTTCTTTCCCTCAAAACGAGCCTAGAAAATATTTAAAGGGAAATTAGATCTGCTTTACTATATAAAGTCTCTGGGAGAGGACATGTCCTGAGAGGTCCCCAGCAGCACCCTACAGGGCCCAAGGGCTAGAGTTACACTCTCATGGTTCTAGCCAGTCTGGCTACATGCTAGCTGAGTCACCCTGGGCAAAGCACTGACCTTGCTGGGCCCCCCGTGTTCTTATCAGTAGAAAAGATAAAAGCAACTTACAAAAACAAAAATATAACCCCCCCCCAAAAAAAAGCGACTTAAAATAGTGCCTATTGCACAAGCAGTACTCAATTAATGTTAGCTTAAAAAGAAATTCTGAGCCAGGCGCACACCTGTAACCCAGCTGGGCTCGGGAGGCTGAGGCAGGAGGATCACAAGTTCAAAGCCAGCCTCAGCAATTTAGAGAGGTGCTAAGCAACTCAGAAAGGCCCTGGCTCTAATAAAATACGAAATAGGACTAGGGATGTGGCTCAGTGTCAAGTGCCCCTAAATTCAATCCCCAGTAACTCCCAAAAAACAGAAAAAAAAAAAATCTGCAAGTATTTAATAAAATAGTTCTTTTTTCATTGTTGTTGTTGTCGTCTAGTCTTTTTTTTTTTTTAAACAGATCCTGATATGTTACCCAGGCTGACCTTGAACTCTTAGGTTCAAGACAGCCTCCAGCTTTAGCCAAGTAGCTGGTATGACAGGCCAGCATCACCACTCCCAACCCAGTTCCTAAATTTTTAACTTGGCTGTGCATGTGCAGGTCTATCATAAAACTTAAAAAAAAAAAAAAAAAACACACAAGCAAATTCTTCTAGAAGACAAAAGGCATGCATGGGAACACGCCTGGAGTCGGGCAGGAGCCCCCAGGCCCACGCCAACACTCACTAAGCTGACAGGAGCTGCGCGCTGAGTTCTCCCTCCGCCGACCTACTTCACTTGGGCGTGTTCAGGCTTATGTTTTGGCTCCTCCACCCCAAGGTGAGCTCCCCGAGCAAGGGACAGTAGGTTGGCCTCTGGTGTACCTCTGAACTCTCTGAGAAAGGGACAGTGCATTGGCCTCTGGTGCACCTCTGAGCTCCCCGAGCAGAGGACAGTGCATTGGCCTCTGTGCCAACGAGCCTGGACTCTGGGTCCTGCTGCTGGGTTCCACCACAGCAGCTGTCCTTGAGCCTGCCCCCCTGTGCCTGCCTCTGGGGAGGCAGCAACCCTTCCTGGAAAGAGGGACTCCCCTAGGGAGAAGCTCCCCAGCAGGCATGGGCAGAAAGGTGGCTGTCAGGACACAGGATGCCGGTCATTTCTGACACTCGGAGAACAGATGGACATTTTAGGGTTTTTCTGTCACTGCAGCACTGTAGACGGTCTTTATCAAATCCCCTGCCTGGACCCCCTCACCCAAGTTCAAACCAACAGGGCAACACAGTCACTCTGCAGGGTAGGGGGTACTAGAGACGCTCAGAGGGGCAGGGCAGTCTCACCACCTAACACAAAGGGCTGACTCCCCGGCGGCTCCCACCTAGAACCAAAGACTGAACCTGCGAGCTGTGGGGACAGCCTCTGCCCACCGGGGAGCAAAGCCCACGCTCTTCCTTCTCGCAACCTGAGCCACTCTCAGCGGATGGCTGTCAAGGGAAGGACCAGAGGTCTCTGCAGGATGGTCCCAGAAGAGTGAGCTGGATGATGGACTCAGCTCCTGGTGCACTTGTTATGTGGGGCAAGCACTGCTATCCCTGTCACCTACATCCCAGTGCACGTCCCCACACTGTGCCAGCCTACAGAATAGGAATTCTGGATCACCAAGACCGCTCACTTTCCCACGCTCTGATCAGGACATGGGATCAACAGGCTGCCAAGGATTCTTCCAGCTCTTCAAATAAGAACAACAAGTCCTGCCCACCCCTGGGACCCGGTCTCCCACCATCCTCTCCTCCCTGCTCCCTGTTCTAATCACACACCAGGTCCACCCTTCCCTGCCTGAGCCTCTGCTCTTGCTGCCCACTCTGCCCAAACCTTTGCACCAGGCCCACCACCACCTCCTGATGGAGATAGCTAGCCCAGCGGACTCCTGGGTGTGGCCCATCTTCCCAGCCATGGTGTCTGCCTGCCTGTTCACTCCCGCGTCCCCAGCACCCAGCACCCAGGCTGAGCAGGCTGCAAATGTATACTTCTTTGAATGAAAATTTAATAAAAGAATTTCCAGCAGATTTCCAACAAGAGCCATTGAAATCCAAATATGATACCTCCTATCAAACCCAGTGCCCTATCAAGGAATTTCCATCTGGTCTCCTGACAAAGCACTGTCGGGATTCCTAATAAGGAAGTGGGTTACTTTGGAATTCACACTGTTCTTTGATCTGCAAGACCTCAAGCAACATTTCAGAATACAAACTGCATTTTCTGTGTATTCCTTGTGGGGTATAATTTGTGCTGCGTGTATTTAAACAGACTCCCCTATGCATTCTCCAAACTGCAGGGGCAGGGGCCGTCCGGTGTGAGCCTCATTTAACCCTAAGGGAACTTGCCAGGAGAGGACTGCAATATAAACCTGCTCATCCCTGTCTACCTGTTGTTCTGAGCGCAGGGGCTCTGCCCCAAAGGGAACTGCTATTAGCTGAAAGGCACTTCCCGGTGTGTGGCGGAAATGGGGAGGGCAGAGATGCTGGGAGGGGAGGCTCACACCTGTCAAAACAGCAGCCCCTGGTAATTTCCCAGGTTAGCTACAGAGAAAAGGGAACAGGAGGGAACTACCCAGCAGGATGATAAGAGATTCATTTACCGACAATCTGGGAAAATACATCTGATCCCTGAAAGCATTATTTTGAAAAGCAATTTGCACAGAGATTTAATTTATGACGGGAAAATAAAAAAATAAAAAAGGACGGCAGCACTTAAAATAGCCCGGGAATTCATTCCGATGCCAGTTAGATCAACAAAACCACTAAAGTAGGATTATTTTCTAACGTACCTGTAAAAAAAACTGAAGCCCACACATTATCAGGCTTAACACAGCACAGGAAAACATTTCCCACTACGAGATCAAGGGTTGGTATCACAACAGTAAACAAATCACAGCCATACCAGCAAACAACAAGAGGAAAAATCAGCTTTTAAAAAATGGTAATAATAATAAAAATAATAGCCATACCCTCCACCTCTTTTCTTATCCAATGACAGTGTCAAAGGTTCGGGTGAAGCTACATGTTCAAAGCCTGTTTTTAACGCCCACCTGTCGTGTTGTCCAAAGAAACGGGCATCGACCTGCCCGTCCTTATCCCTCAGGGCTTTTGCAGGCCAAAATGGAAACCCCTTCAGTTTTGCCCAGACCAAAGGATGTGGATTGCTCTAGAAGAAAAACAGAACCCAGAGTTGGCACACATTTGGCAGTGAGACACACTTCCCGGCTGGGGAGGGCGAGATAGCGGGGAGAAGGCGGCCACAGAGGCCCCGGTGGGGTTCCCCAGAGAGGGGGGCCGCGGTGCCTGCACAGAGCTGGGGAGGGCTCCAAAGGGGAGGGGACAGAACCTGAGGACAACAAAACTAGGCTGGAGTCCTGGCTCCACTGTCACTTGGATGGCTGTGAGCAAGGCACTTGCCTTCCTGCACCACACAGAGCCCTGATGCCACTCTCCCCCCAAGTGTGGGCTGACGTGCCCTGGGTCAGCACAGAGGGCAGCAGAGGCTGAGTTTATTCTTTTCATTTTCTTTATATATTTTTAGTTGTAGATGGACATAATACCTTTATTTTGTTTATTTGGTTTTTTTATGTGGTGCTGGGGATCGGACCCAGGGCCTCCCACGTGCTAGGCAAGCGCTCTGCCACTGAGCCCCAGCTATCCAGGTGTTTATCTTCAAGGGCCTGAAGGGACATAGGCAAATTTTGATTCTCCCTTCACTTGCCCGGTCATGCCCCTCCAGCCCTCCATCCCCACCCCTCTACCCACCCACCCCCAATACACTTCTCTCTGATAAATACCAGTTGGCATGTACAGGGCCCTGGCTTTGACCTCCAGCGTCACAGAGGGCAAAAATAAACACCACTTTGGAAATTCAGATCCACAGTAAGAAACCAAGGTGTCTTTAGGTCCTGCAAGAACCATGATTTGTTCTCTCCTCAGATGCCACCAAGGTACTCGGTCCTTCCAAGGAAACTAAGGCCACTTGGGGTGAAGATCGCACTTCACCTTGCAGCCTGCCATGGCCTCTGTCCCTGAGCTGGCATCTACTCTGCCCTCATCCTTCACGAGGACAAGGTGACTGTCACAGAGGATAAGATCAATACCCTTGTTGGGCAGGTGGTGTAAATGTTGAATCTTTTTGGCCTGGTTTGTCTGCCAAGGCCCTGGCCAATGTCCACCCTGGGGAGCTGCATTTGCAACATCAGGGCTGGTGGGGGGGGCTGCAGCAGCAGGTGCTATGTCAGCAGGAGGTCCCTCCCCTCCCTCCCTCTGCCCCAGAGAAGAAAATGGAAACCAAGAATCCAAGGTTCAAGCATAGGCTTTGGTCTTTTTGACAGCTCTTAACATTTTCAATAAAAAACTGAACTTTGCTCTTTGCTAATTAAAAAAAAAAAAAAAAGGAAAAAGAAAGAAAATACCACCATGGACTGGAGGAGAGTCTATAACATTAATCCATGAGAGATTTCTAACCTTCTTAAACAGGCCCAAGAAGATTTGTGGATGACACACTCATCAACACTCTCAAAACTCTCAGCATTATTCATGCACCCTGTGACCCACATCATGCATGTCCTGTCCCCCACATCCCACATCCCCCACCTCCCCCCGCCTGCATCCCACATTCCTACCGAATTCCCTTCGACTCTGGGTTCTGCACTTCTCCCGGGTTAACTAGTTCTCGCACACGAACAGCCTAGGAGGCTTATTCTATCTAGGGTTATTTTATCAGTAAAAACACGTATTAGAACTTCATCCAAAGTTTCGTCTCCTAAGCCCCCTGGAGAAGGCTGAGCCATCAGAGACAGAGTTCAGAAAATGAAATAAGGAAAGTAAATCCAACTTACACAAGGCTCGCAAAACCAGTTATCTCGTTTTTGGCAAGCAGCTAGATAACATTCTGGACATACTTCAATTTCATTCATCTGTAAAACAAAAATACATTAGAATATGTCAACCAGGAGCCTCACATCTGGGAGGCCTTCATAAACGCTTGCTGGGTTTTTTTTAAAGTGTTTGTGCTTTTATTTGAATGTCCAGGGATTTTTTTTTTTTTTTTTTTTTTTGTGATTTGGCTGTTTGCTGGATTTGGTTTTTAAGACAGGGTTCTTGCTGTGTTGCCCAGGCTGTCCCAGAACCCTGGGCTCAAGGGATCCTCCCACCCCTGAGGAGCTGGGACTGCAGGCTCACACATAGTTTGCTTAATGATTTTAATGATCTGGGCCACAGTGGGAACACCTTGGAAATAGATCCCACCTTGGCACCACCATCACATTCTGGACCAAGGACACCCCAGGTATCCAGCCCAGACTCTCGCCCCACAACAGCACATTCCCCACGCGGGGCCCAGAGCCACAGAAATCTGAACTTGCTTCAAAAGCTTCCAGAGACTTCCCTGCACTGGGTCTGCAGGCAGGTTCCTCACCCCTCCCCCGCCCCAGGAACTTGGCAAGGTCTGAGGCATTTTGGATGGTCACACCTGGGGGGTTCCCAAATACCAGTCATGCCAATTTGAGAAACTATCAATGAAACCTAAATACCTGAAGCACACCCTGGACTCAGCTCACCTGGTACCAGCGCCGCTCTCTAAGCCCTTCCGGCTGCTCTGTCCCCCAACACACCATGTTCCACTTCCATTTCTAATCACACCATCCCTACTTTATTTCCAGTGACAACAACCCCAAAATCCAACTCCTTCCCTGTCCCTTTCCTGCAGAAGACAGCACACTTCTCGAGTAACTTCCAGACTCAGAATGTACAGCCAGGAAGCTCCTTGATCCAACTTCACTGCCACCATTTCCTAGCTCAGTAACTTTAGGAAAAGATGCTCCATATTCCCTGATCCTCCCCTCTTCTTCGGAAGGAAAAGGGTGCCATCGGTACCCAACCCCAGGGTTAATAAAAAACACGGAATGAGCCAGATGACACAGTATCCACAGACGTGAACAGCTGTCCAAGACTTGGGGAGCTGTGGCCTTCTGAGTGCTCTCTGAGGATCGACTCAACAATGCCCAACGAGGGGAGATTTTTCTTACCACCGTTTTTCAGGAGGAGAAAATGAGGCCCAGAGAAGTTGAGGAACCTGTCCAAGGGCCCAGCACCAAGGTGGCAGGGTCAGGAAGTAAACCCAGGCAACCAGGCTCCAAAGCCCTGAAGCTCCCCCACACCATGGTGAGCTGCTGCGACTGTCTCCCACGTCAGCAGCCCCGATTTTCTCTTAATCACCTATCACCACGCCAGGGGCCACTTACTGAAAACCAACTGACTTAACTGGTGACCAAAGACATGAGTGAATGAAGGGAGGGAGCACCTCCTCCCACCCCACTCAGCTGCTGGGCTCTTCCAGAGGCACACCGCACACAGCCACCTGTCATCCAAAAAAGGCAAACTGGTGACCACAGTGAGGGAAGACCACCTCCCCGCTGTCCGCTCCCAAGCTGTTGTGTGAAGTGTAACCGCTTTTCTGGAAGACAACCGGGAAGCATCTACCTAGCCCTCTGCCCTGTTCACATCCTCCGACCTGGTCACTGTGTATCTAAACATTGTGCAAAGTGACCATCAGAAGCAGATGGGACGGAGGGGCAACGGCATGCATCGTCACCTTAGGTAAAGTGCTGTCACAAGTAGGTTCCACTCAAATGACAAAAAATGCCCGTGGATACTACGCAGCCAGGAAAAATTCAGTTCTTCCCATGTGTTCAATTACCCAGAAAATAGAAAGTACTCGAACTTCAAGTGAAAAGGCAGTTTAGAAAATCTCACTTTCTCTCTCTGTGGACACACACAGAGGCATGTGCCTCGTGGATGCTCCCCAGCCATCCCAGGCAGGTCCTCTTAGGAAGGAAGGGACAGATACACAAAGACGGGTCTCGGTTTGCTATTCTTACAAAGGGATCTGGTAAAGAACGCCGCCGCCCCCCCCATCACTCTGGTTGCCATCTTGTCCCACCACACAGAGTCTCACAGCTCACAGACCCAACAGGTCCAGCACAGCCTGCGGGGGTCCATAGGACAGCCACTCCAGGACACCCCGGCCCCCCTACGGAACCTTCACCCAAACCTCATCTTCAGGAGGACAGAAAGGACACCGACTCCAAGCCACAGGCTATGCAGCCAGGGCCAGACACAGCGAGCTCTAGTGACAACCAGGAAAAGAGCTCAGGACCCCGGCAGTGGCCAGAACCTCAGGAAGAAAACCACAGAGGAGCATCTTCTCCCTGAGGCCACCGGGAGGCAAAGGCGCTCATCACACCGCGGCCCCTCTCCTGTCGCCTTCACTTCCTTCAAGAGACGGGGACGCGGTCGGCCCCGCAACCAAGCCCACGGTGGCCAGGGCCCCCCACCGCGCCTTCAGATCCCAGCACCCAGCTCTGGATGCGTCTACAGGTCGGCGGGAAACACATACCTCGTGTTCACAGATTTTGATGACTACTTTTGCTATTTGCGTCAATTTGTGATTTCCTAGGGGAATAAGAAAATAGGATTAATTCTACCGGAAACACTGTAACACCCCACCTTGCAGTTACATGTCCCCTGGCAACATTTAGCTTGCTTTCCTCCAGCAGCTGACCAAAATTTCTGCTTTCTAATGTCAGTTCCGATTATTCGCCCTTCAAGACCAACCAGTCTTTGATGCCTCAAGGTCATCTCCCAAACCGAGCAACTGGTGTGGCTTTCCCCAGATCATGGATTAATATCTGAAAAAGGTGTTGATCTTCTACAGGCTCAAAAGTCCTAGGAGCCTTACTGTACCCGTCACCCCAGACTGCAGCAACCCAAGAAGGCAGCGGGGACGTCACCACGTGGCTGGGCCAGGGGCTTCCAAAGAATCCTCCAGTAGCCACAGCAGAAAGCAGGGAAGAGCGTTCAAGTTCAATTATCAACTAAGCCAAGGTCAGGTTCTTCCACCAGGACACTCATAACAAAGAAGAAACCTGGACAGGTCTAACCCAAATCCTCACCTTTGCTCTAAAGCAGAGGATGAGGTAGTTAAAAAAAAAAAAAATCATGCTTTCTTTGACCCTTAGAATATTTTCAGAAATTTTACATTTGTTGACAAAGAGATTTCACACACACACACACACACATATACACACAAGCGCACGTGACCTAGATATCCAGCTCTTTAGGTCTGAGGACCCTCTAACCAACAAGCCCCGGGAGCTACCAACAGCAGCCTCTCCAAACAACGGGGAGTCCCTGCTCCCCTCACCCCACTGGCCATCCCCGCGGCTGCTGGTCTTCTCCTTCCCCTGACCCACTCACTCACTCTCTCACATGCTTGGGGGGCCTCTCTGCTCATCGCCCAGCGCCTACCCTTTCTCCGGGCCCTGCAGTCTGCGGGCTCCTGCTCAGGGAGCCCCCCTGGAACGCTGGCTGAGGGTCTGCACTACGCAGAGAACAAGGGCAGACCCACCCCGGGAGGAGTCACCTCCGGGTGCAGAGATCAAGCACATACAAACAGCACCACTCGGGAATCTGGGTGATGCAGCCAGGTCAGTAGAGAGCCCAGGACAGAGACCTCCAACGACCTGGGCCTCAGGTAAGGAGTCTTAGAGGCCGAGAGGCTGAGGCACAGGGAAGGCCAGGGAGGCGGAGGCAGGTGGAGGGTCAGCCACAGGCACCACCCAGCACAAGCACAAGCTGACCTGCAGACCAGGGCACCAGGTGGGCAGGACACGGAGAGACCCGCCCAACCAGAGGCAGACAGAAAAGAACCTTAAGGAAGGTGCCCAGAGGAAAATCAGATGGAAATTCTCCTCCATCCTCCAAATCCACGAACACACAACCGTCAGCACTAGATCCAGCACATAAAGGGCTCCGGCAGCGAGCCACAGAGTGCAACAGCCCAGCTGAAGTGAACAGTCGGGGGGTTTCACCCCAACACACAAATCACTGTGAAGTACATGAAATGACCACTCAGTCCCTGGCCATGGGGAAAGGGCAAATCAAAGCCCCTGGTGTCATAGGAGACATTTCACGTCACCCAAGAACGGCCTCGTCAAAAAGCCAGGCAGGGCCAGGATGTGGGACGCTGGACATCACGTGTCTGCCCGTGGAGCACCCTGACATGAGCTCTGTGCACGCACTGGGACAAGAGTGCTCATGAAGATGACCCACTCGATGGTGCAGCACCAGACAGCCAAGAGCCACGGGCACACCTGCCCAGACCACGGGCACCACAGGAGTCCCCGGCAGCTTCCTCTACAACAGCCCAAAGACGGAGACCACCGGAACGTCCATCATTAACCAGGGGAAGGGACCGACCTCGGCGTGCTGACCACGCGAAAGATCACCTGGCAACTACAAAGGCGCGATCCTCAGTTACGCCAAATCCCAACGCAGGGTGTGTGCCCCCACACCGAGAGCACCCCCAGCCCCGTCCATCTGGAACTCTAGGCCAGAGAGGGAGAGAAGAGCTCCAGCAGAAAGAGGTGACTGCGAAGCCGCCACCTGACCTGAGGTGTGGCCCTGCGCTCGTCCAAGTCACTGAACGTGCTCATGAACCTGCGCATTTCCCTGACATTTCCACCTCCGTTCAATTACGGAGTTTGGAGAGGACCGTGAGAGCGCACACCACGCATCACAGAGCCGCGGACGTCGGCTCACGCCTTACCGTGCACGTCGCCCTGGCCCCGTTCACACGCCACGGCCATGCGCACACAGTGTCCTCGGTCCCCCGAAGCCTGATGCTCGACTCTGCAGCCCGGTTCTTCGCGAGGGGCAGCAGAGCGCGCACCAGGTGCGGGGTGCCCTCTCCGGGCTCCACGCAGCCACTCACCCCCGTTATAAATGATGCAGTTGTGCAAGATCCACTTGGCGTCAGCTAGGAAGGCCTCCGTGCAGCCGTACATTTTCTTTTTAGCGTTCTGGGAAGAGAAGCCACGGGGCACAGTAAGCAGTGGCTCCACCCCGAGCAGATCCACCTGCCCCTCGCACCATCCACTCACCACCACTCATTTCCCATGATCCTATTATTGTGAGATCTATGACCCTATTTTAAAAAATGCACCACTGAATTCGTTACAGGAACTTGAATTTTCTCATCTTAACGCTGCTGTCATTTGTTAATAGGTTCCTTCCAAGAAGAGATCGATTTCTCTATTTGTATTTATTATAAAGACAGGTCTCACATGAGCCTCCTGAAAACTCAAGGAAGCACACATCACCATCCCCACTTCACACAACACTATGCCAACAGTATGAAAGATGTATCCTCATTCTTCTTTGGTGGGACTACTAGGGAAGAACCCAGGGGCACTCTACCACTCAGCCACATCCCCAGTCTTTCTTTTCATTTTTTATATCATTTTGAGTCTGGGTCTCACTAAGTTGCTGAGGCTGGCCTTGAATTTGCGATCCTCCTGCCTCAGCCTCCTGAGTCACTGGGATGTCGGTTGTGCACCAACACACCCAGCAATGTGTCCTCTTTTCATGGATACTTTTCATTACCCATACTGAGTTAATGGTTTGAGATCAGCACCATGGTGGTGTGCGCAATCTAAAGTGTTACAAATATAATTTTCACCATGGAATTTTAGCATGAACTCGGAAAAACACCTCCGGGCATTAACAAAATAGCCTTATCGGCTGAGAAGCCGATTCTAAGAAGCCACGTCCTTATTGCTAATCTGGAGGTTTCCCAGCTACTTAAATGTTCTCTTCTTCCTTACTGCTGCTCTCATTAGCACCTCCAAAAGAAAGAGAAGAGGACGTAAGGCGCGAAATCGATCAAATCGCTAATTCCTAGAAGTACGGCTCTTTCAGGTAGAAGCTGGAATCACTCCCAGAAGAGCAGTGAGCACATCTCCCAGGGCCCCCCTCAACCCCCGGAAGGACGTCACCGGGGAAAGGAAGTGAGCGGACCAAGAGTTCTTCTCTCCAAATAAAACTGATCTAACTTGGAAGTGAGGGGCTGCCTTGGCATCTCCACACCCGGGGGCCAGCACGGGAGGCTCTGCGGCGGAGGCCAACCTTTTCCAGTGTACAAAGGTCCATGGGGTGGAAAATATATTCTGCGTAGTCGGGATGCTGTTCCAAGGGAACGGGCTTCTGGAATGCATCTGTCTGTAAGAGAAAAGGTACACGTGCACAGGCCAGGAAGACCACGCTTCAGCCAACACGGGGCCGAGAAGCTGAAGAGAGCCTCTCCAAGACTGCCAGGAAGGAGGCCGCGGGCAGCTCCACTGGCCACTGTCCCAGGCTGCCTGGATGTTGGTGATCCTGGGCCCAGATGAACTGCTTGGGGTTTTGTTATTTGCTTCGCTATCAACATACACCCAAGTAGCAGGTTCTGTCCCCTTCCAGTGAGGCTGAGAGTCCCAACACACCAGGGGTCACTTTAGAGCTAGGCCACACCCTAGAGGGACTCATCACCAAAAGTGACTTGAGGGGGAAATGTGTTCACACCTAAAGATGACACATCAGACAAAGTCTCTTGGGTGCCAACAGGTGTTTCTGATACGATGGGAAATCTAGACAGTGAGATTCCGTTCCTCTTTTCAGAGGTCAAATTGCCTTCAGTACAAGAAGTGTGCAAAAAGTCTTCACCCATTTGCTTAAGCTCTAACTTGACTCAGCTCAAGATGGCTGGGTGGTATTTACTTAGTAATTCTTTTCTTTTTAAATCCAAAGATTTAATGAAATACCAAATTATACCCAACCAAAGAATCGGAACAGATTTCCTTTTGCAATCACCTGTGTTCACTTTAATCCAGAATGAAAGCTTGACCACTGTAAATTTAAAAAATGCTCCAGAGCAGGGGTATGGCTCACGGGAAAGGCACTTGCCTGGCGTGTGCCAGGCCCCGGGTTCCAGCATGGAGGTTTCAACAAAATCGGCGACTTTACATCAAACAGAGTGAGAAAGTAAAGCTTTCTTCTATTTGTCCTTTGGTTTAAAACTTGACAGAGTTGACAAATCTACATACTCCGTTCTTTTTGTAAATAGTAGGTCACGTTCAATCCCTCCACAGTAAAAAAAAAAAAATTTTAAGATTTTTTTCTTTTTTTATGGTTCCAAGGATTGAACCCAGGGCCTCATACATACTAGGCAAGCTCCGTCCCTGGCCCAAGATTTTTGTTTTTTAACTAAACTAAAGCTACTAGCACAGCTTTGCTTCCATTGATTGAGATTTAATTCAAGAGATAAATAGGTAACTACTTCAATATCTAACTGGCACATCTTAAATTTCATCATCATAACAAATTTCAGAATCTCTCAAAGCAAAACTTTTATTTGTTTAAAGAAACAAAACCACAGTGGTCACTAAAAGCAGTGAGATACTCGGCTACTGCATATGCCCTTGACTTAGAAAGCAAACCCAAGGACAGCACAGAGGGTGCTCTGGGCAAATCAGAAAGGAGGGACCCGTCCTTCAGTTTCTTGAGATTCATCTGGAGGGAGACAGAGTCCTCATATGTCCATTGTATCATCATATTATTTTTGACAGAAGATATTCCTCTGCCATTTTCCTGAAAACTATCATAATAACAACAGACACACCTAGGGTATGGCGGGCCCTCCCAGCAGGGTGCCATGTGAGGCACAGCCAAGCAAAAGTAGCAGAGGCTGTGCAACAGGACTCATTTCACAATTGACGGAACTAACCGAATTCTCACCCATTATGGAAATCTCCCTGGTTCCACACCAGACCTCAGTTATAAATAAACTGGGACGCCCTCCTCTCCCTGAAGCGGAATTCATCCAGGCTGAGGGAGGGAGCACGCAGCCCTCGGGGCCAGGGGGCTGTGAAGTTCTACTTCTCAACCCATCAGGACTTTAAGGCCCCACTGAGGACCGGACCCCGTGGGGACACAAAGAGCTCACTACAGAGAACTCACTGGATGGCACCGTACCTGATGTTTACTTGACAGATTTAAAATGGGGACACACAAGACAAGTCCAAAGAGCCCGGAGAGGGATCTGAAAAGCAAAGCCGACGAGCAACGCGGAAAGCTGCTAACAGAACTAAACGGAGTCTTATCTTCATTTACGCTTACACCGGCGGACCGATCCTCTTACCCCTGGCTGTTTCATTTTCTGAATGGCAAACTTGAGCAGGTAGGAGAGCTGTTCAATGGTGAGCATTGTCATGGCTTTGCTCTGGGTCTCGATGCACTCTGCTACTGTAATCTTCTACGAGTCAAAAATCATACACACACATCCGGTTAGAAAAAAGAAAATCACAGAGCCACGGGTTTATTCTCCTTCTACTTTTTCTTTTCTTTCTTTTCTTTTTTAACATACACATAAAAAGAGATTCCCATCTAAATGTGAATAGCTGTTTCCCTTGGCAAGGACTCCAATCTACCAGACCAAAATATACTGGATCTGTGGGTAGACATTAGAAAGCAACCACCCACTGACTACCTTACAAGGAAGTGTCTCCAGCTCAGGGAGACGACAGGATCTGGGGGAGGTTGGGGGAGATGGGAATCTGGAAAAGCATCCTTATCCCAACCTTGGTTCTCAAGAAGGGGATGTGAATGGGAAGGTCACTGATGCATTGGGGGCGGGGGGGGGGGGGAATCTCCTCCCAAGATGAACTGTCATCAGCTGCTAATCTCGAGCCTCTTGAGAGTCAGAGCTATCGTGCAGGAACGTGGCCCAGCACTGTCTGATGGCAAGAGACAGGCTCCCTGCAGGAAGAACCCAGGGGTGGAGTGGACTAATAATTAATAGGACTCCATTGTTCATCAGCACTGATGTGAACTCTCTTGGGATTCATGGGCGCATTTCCAAAGGGCAGAATCTACCTGTCTGTCCACACAGGCAAGAGATGTCATTTCATAAGGGAAAGTCCCATCAAAGAGGAGACAGAGAGAGATGACGGAAAGTGGATTCTGCCATGGGACTGTGATACCATATCTCGGGGATTCAAAGGCCCATGTCCCGGCAACAACAAAAATAGCGTCCGCTCCTAAGTCATGAAATGTTCCTCAGCCATCTGTGGAAGGAGCGCGGATAAGTGTTCTTGGATAATCTGGACTGTTTCCACTCTTCACTTCTCTGGGAACTCTCAGATGTGTCTGGCTGGTTGTTGAGGAGAAGGACCACCCAAGAGTCACTAGGAAGTTAGAAAGGCTGCACGATGCACGCATCTCATTCCTGGGCTACCAGAGCCTGAAGAGCTAGTCTTGCCTTACCAGGCGACCCTGGAAGAAAATCAGGCTGTGGATCGTGCACGCAGAACTCCTGATGGTTTGAATTCCAGACTGATGCTGGGCTCCACCCAAGGAGAACACTCGGGTTACATGCCCAACTGTCCCTCACTCCCTCACCCCCTGCTCCTTCCTCCTGGCTGGCACCGCCTGGAAGTGCTACATGAAGCCCTTAGGAAGCCTTTGTTGCATAGGAACTGAGGCTCGGAAGCTCACCCCGAGGCCAGGGTAAATCAGCTGGAGAATGAGGATAAAATCCTTCTGCTTGACAAAGAGATGCCAGAAGTGTCTTCCTCTTAGACTAGGACTCTTTGTCTATCACACATGCCACTGGAGCCCACCTAGGGCCTTGAGGGGGACACGTGGTCTCAGGATGAGATGGAAAGGGCCTGACTGGGCACCAGCTGGGACGGCCCCGTCTCTGGGCCCTTCCCACACATGCTGACAATAAACCCCACCGCTTTAGGCACAGTTCGAAGGAGCTCTCCCTGCAGAGGAGGCGTCCCAGGGGAACCACTACCTGTTCTGCAATGGGATGAAACAAATGGGAACAGTCGCTTAGGACCAAGGGACACCGGTGGAGGTTCCAGGTGGCGCTCTGGGTGTAGCAGAACCAGACCTGGCTCCAAACACGCCCAGCCCACCTCTGTCTCCGTAGAAGAGTGACCAAGGGAACCAGCAGCCATCTTCCAGCCGTTTTAGAGGCAGAGTCCCACCCCAGGGTCGTCACCAGACCGGCTCGATGCCTGATTTCTTTTCACCTATTTTCTATTTTCGTCCTTCCCCTGCACAGAAGTGGTGGCAGGGACACTATCTGCGACTTGTTTTCTTTTCCACAGAAGACACCCGGGCAGCCCCGCCACGGCTCCCCAGACGTGTCTTCATGTGAGATCTGAGGCCAGCGTGCCTTGGGATCCAAGAGACATTCTGCTCTAAGTGACTTTCAGATGACTCTCCTTTTCAGCATTCGAAAGAGCCTCCTAGTCCAGAGTGGCCAAGAACTGATGCCGCCTCAGAACCCTGCAAGTCCAGGGACTGGTCTAACAAAGAGCGGGAGCTTGGCCTCAGACAGCTCTTGGCTACCCATGAAGCCTACGCTGCCTTCACTGCTCCCCTGCTCTGCCCAGGCCGCACCCCTGCCCGGAAGGTTCCCCCAGATAGCAGGGCCCACCTCCATCAGCTCCTTCTCAAATCTCAGGGGGCCTTCCAGGCCTGGACATTTAAAATGCAACGCCCTGCGGCTCCTGAACTCCCTACTCCCCATCTTCAGTTTGCAGCTTTCTTCAAACTCATTATTTCTAACTTGATTTTCACTTCTGTCCTTTTCTGTTAAAAGGAAAGTGATCCGTGCCTATTTTTCTGAGCACTATCCGATCTCCCTTAGAAATACTTGTTGCATGAAAGAAAGACTCAGATGGCACGGCCACCACCCAGAACACAGGACCCAAACTGGGCGTCCCAGGTCGGCGGCGGCTGCTGATCCCATGACGCAGCAGGGCACACCCAAGAGAAGCTGCGCGAGAGCGTTTCCGACCGTGTGAACTGTCAACGGGTTCAAAAGTTATCGTGTAAGACGGGCATTCGAGAAGGAGCAGACAGCGGCAGAGCTCGAAGCGACTCAAAGACTCGAGAAGAACCCAGACAATATTCCATCACTTCTCCAAGAGCTGCAGGACCGCAGCCAGGGGCAGATGCTGGACCAAAAGGGGGGTGGCCAGGACAGAGCGGGTGGGAGGCAAGAAGTGTCTCTTTTCCCCTTATCTGGGTTATTGGAAAGTTTGTAAGTCAAAGGAAGAGAAGAGAGAGGAAACGAAGCAGGTAATGTATTCATTCGTTGGGAACTAACCTCACATTCAGGACAAAACCAGTCCCCCTCTGGTTCCGATGTCAGTCTCAGACACTTAGCGTGATAAACCCGGGGACAGAGCTCACAGCAAAGGACTTGGCCTTCCCGGTGACAAACCCAGCAGTAGAAATCATTCCGTCCATCCTGCGGTACAACATCAACAGGGTCTGTGGTGAGTGGCTGCTTCATATAGTAAAACGGACCATGTCTTAGTTCTGACTGAAATGTAGGCAAGAAAGACAGGTTTGGTTTCAAAACAAATGTGCATTCTCAACAGGAATTTGAACAAGTACATCAATAACAACACAAGAAAATCACAGCATTTCACATCTGCTAAACAGTCGAGCTAGCTGCGGTTCCTCTACTGTCCACAACATTAGCAGGTCATTGGGTAACTATGAGGGTCTTTCCTCCCTCCCATTTTAAAAGGCCATAGACTGAACACTAGTGTCTCAGAGTCACCAGGTGGCCCTGGCCTACGTAGGTACAAATTTTAACTACCGCTAAACAGCCGCATGACCTTGGACGGGTCTCCCCACCTCTGGGCCTCAGTTTTCTCATCTGTAAAATGAAGGTGAGTTATCTAACGTCACGGGATTATGGGGCTGTGTTCAAATGAGAGGATAGAATGTATGGAATTAACACGGTGCCACCATCACCAATGTCGTCCCCATGGTTAAGAGCCCAACGTACACAAGTTCACGTTTACAAAGCCAACCAAAAAAATGTGCAATCTGTCCTGGGAGTCTTCATACTGTAGGCACTTAGAGAATATAGCAATTGGATTTGAGTGACCAAAAAATGATCTGCCATTTTTAAGGCCATCCCCAAGGCACAAAATCATGAACCAACAAGAACCTTCCTCAAGTCACGTCTCTTGAACACTTTAGGCCCCTGGAGTTGCCAGAGAGCCTCAGCCTTCATTACAAACAACACAGGAAGATGACTTGGTGGCAGGTCCAGGGACACCAGAAATACAGGAAAGCCATCCTCCAAACACATAAAATCCCTCAGAAGAAACTCATTAGGAAAACAGCCATCACCCTCCAATACGGAATCCTATTTAAACCTATGATCAAGTCCACGGGAAGCATCAAACAGCCCGGCAACTAGCGGTGTGATCGAGAAAGCTTGGCGCACAACTGTAACCCCAACTCGGGAGGCTGAGGCAGGAGGATCAAGTTCGAGGACAGCCTGGGCAACTCAGTGAGACCCTGTCTCAAAAAACTTGTTTTAAAAAGGGCTGGGGCCAGGTGTGGTGGTGCACACCTATAATCCCAGGAGCCTCAGGAGGCTGAGGCAGGACAATCACAAGTTCAAAGCCAGGCCAGCTACATAGCAAGGCCCTCAGGACTACTGAGACCCTATCTCAAAATAAAACATAAAAAGGGGGCTGGGGATACAGCTCAGTGGGTAGAGTATTTGCCTTGCATGCACAAGGCCCTGGGTTCAATCCCCAGCACCATAAATAAATAAATAAAGCACAAGAAGGGATAGGGATGTGGCTCAGGGTTCAGCACCCCTGGGTCCCATCCCGACTACCAAAAAATAACAATGATAATAAAACAGGAAGAGTGCAGTGTGACCGCGAACCTCCCTTACTTGCAACCATGTCTACCGTCAAACACAAGCCGGATCTTTTTGGCCTTGTTTTTGTTTTCTTGATGCTGGGGACTGAGCAGAAGCCAGGTGACTGATCCTTCAGCATGAAGTTTCTCTCACACCCCTCCACTATCCCATCCCCCACTGTCCCGGGTGGCTGTCCCAGTCTCCAGACTCCCTCGTCTCCTGGGGCAGCCCTGGGTGCTGAGAACCAGCTGTCTGATTAATCACCTGTCACTCAGATCCTTTCCTTATCTGCTGCTTGTAAGTGTTACCTGCTCCATAAAAATAATCTGATAACAAACATGGAACACTTTTAAAAGGAAAAGCAAATCATTTCAGGCAAAATGAGTTATGATGTTTTCTTCCCCACAGGGAAGCAGCCACGCAGGCAGGTCACAGCCTGTGATATCATGGGACAGTCACAGGTCCTGAGAGCACATGTTCTTATTCTCTGCCCTTCCATGGGCTGGCATGACAAGAAGAGTGGGAAAGACCCTTCTGTTCACTTCTGGAATCTCTTCGTGCACACCAAGAGCCGGCAAACACTTTCTACAAAGAGGTGAGGCCTGGCAGGCCACTCGGTCTCTACTGACAGTGCTCAGCTCTGGCCGTGCAGTGCAGCCACACAGCTGTGTGCTGATAAAACTTTATGAAAACAGGCTCCTGGGCCACAGGAAGCAGTCGCCAACACCTCGTCTACATCCACCCGAGCACGGGTGCTCTGGACCTGCACTTGTGTGGTAGAGGGGAGGCCACAAGCTCAAATGCTTGCAGAGGCCACTCAGGTGGCACAGATGAGTGACAGCACCGTGCATCAGCTTTTGTCCTGCATTTGCAAAGGAGTGGGGCTGACTGCAAAGCCCGTGAGAGCCACACAGCCCTGGAACCAGCCGGACCCCGGAGTGAGGAACCCTCACCAGCCTGGACATGAGTGGGATGGTGGGCAGAGCCCACGCCAACCTATGGGGTCCCCACCAACTGTTCCAGCGGTTAATATGCTGCCTACTCCAAGCAAGGACTGCTGTGAGAAGTGTTAGTTTGTGTCTTTGTGGGTTGAGGTTTTTCTATTTTATTTTATTATTTTTTGATAGTGGGGAGGGAACCCAGGGAACCCACCTATATGGCAGGCAATAGCTCTACCACTGAGGTACGTCCCCAGCACAAAATAAAGTATTTTAAAGCTCTTCTTAAATCCCCGCCCTGGGGCAGGTGTGCTCCACCAGTAATCCCAGAGGCTCAGGAAGCTGAGGCAGGAGGATCCCAAGTTCAAAGCCAGCCTCAGCAACTTAGCGAGGCCCTAAGCAACTCAGGGAGACCCTGTCACTAAATAAAATATTAAAAATGGCTGGGGATGATGTGGCTCAGTGGTTATGCGTCCCTGGATTCAATCCCCGATACCAAAAAAAATTTTTTTTTAAATTTTTTTTAAACTCCTCCTGGGGATACAGCTCAATAGTAGAGCAAATGTCCAGCCTTCAGAAGGCCCTGGGTCTGATGAGTACCACCACAGAAAGAAAAAAGTAAAGAAAAAAAAAGAACAGAAAGCCTCCCTCTAAAAGTCCTGAACTCCCAATACGTGAAAAAGAGACAAAAAAGTGCTGCACTTAAACTTGGCTCAGCTCTTGATAATCACAGGTCTCCATCAAAAATGGAAATGCATGATCTGTTTTTTACAAGGCCAGAATGGCTTTCTTTCAGAACACTGGAAACAGAAAAAAAACCTGGGGGCGGGGAGACATAGGTCAAAAGTCCCGCCCCCTCCCCCCAGAGGTGGAAGGGTTGAGCAGAGCTGACTGCTAGTGACACTCTAGGGAGGGGTGGGGAGTGCGGCTGCAGGCTGACACCAGCTCAGCCCAGCATCTGCAGGGCAGAGTCTACTCAGCCCTGGCTGTTGCTGGATTCTGCTGAGTGCTTCGGTCTAAATCTTTGTGTCTCCCTCAAAATTCCCAAGTTGCTATCTTCTAGAAGGTGGTGCCTCTGAACACTGATGAATGGGCCTTATCCAGGAGGATACCAGAGAGGCCCTCGCCCTCTACCACAGGACACCCTCTATCACACCTCTATCACAGAACTCAACTGTGATGGCGCCTGATCTCGGACTTCAGCCTCCAGAAATTCCTGCTGTTGGTAGGTCACCCACCCATGATGCTTTGTCACAGCCAATCAATCAAACAGTAAGACACTTAGTGTTTATAAGAACCCAGAAATGCAAGCTTTTATTTGAAATCTCACGATCCTCAGGTTGGTGACTGACAGAAATCATGACATATTGGTCAAACCAACATATGGGGAAGGGGAGGGAAAGGAGAGGTAGGAATCCAGGGGCCGGGGCTGGGGCTCAGCGGCAGAGCTCTCGTCTAGCACGTGCGAGGCCCTGGGTTTGATCTTCAGCACCACATAAAAATAAATAAACAAAATAAAGGTATTGTGTCCAACCACTTCTAAAAAATAAATATTTTAAAAAAAACAGTAGGTATCCAGTGTTTCTTCTAAGTTCGCTATGAGGAAAACAGAGATTGCACATGAAGAATATTGGCCCTACTCTGCCAGCATTTAAAAAAATGCTGTTAGGAATGACAGGGTCAAAGGTCAGGGACGTCTTCCGGTTTCAGTGAAGGTCGCTCCATCTTTGCCAACAAAAGTCTCTGGGCCTTTGTGCCTTGGAGGTTTGGATCAGAAATGCAAACGTGCAATGGACCTTAGGATGTTCTAGTCCAAAACCCTGTTTTAGGACATAACTGAAGCTCAAAGAGAAAGCCACTGATGTGGCCACCCGGTGAGTCCCCCAGATGCAGTGAACTGGAAGGATCCTGTGTCCAAGAGGAGCACCTCCCCCATCTGTGGATACTGGAGAGGACAGGAAGTGTGCTCAGGCCCTGTGTCCCCCGCCCTGGCTCTGCTGTGTCCATGGCCGAGTGCCTTCTACATCCCACCCTGTGTCAGGCCCTGAGGTGACAACAGCCCTGCACATTGGCTCCTTCTCTGAGGCTGCTAGTCCAAAGCAGGGGACACCAACTTACAGACACATCAGTTGGTCATGAGGTTTCTGTGCCACAGAAACGGTCTTCACACAGGATAAGAAGGCAAAGCAGCAAATACCCGAGCGGATTAGCTTCCAGAGAAAGAACTGTGAGCAAATTCTTAGAGAACAGTGGGGACTCCCACAGTGGGTGTGCGTGGGTGTGCATGGGTGTGCATGGGTGCACGGGTAGAGGGAGGGGACAGGAAAGGACAGCTTCCGGCCAGGAAGGACATCTGCTCTCAGGACTCCCTGGGAACTGGAAAGGGAGTATTGGCTCAGGAAGCCAAACTGGTGGCTTAATTAAGGGCTGAGGGTTATCTGACCGCCATTTTCTTTCTAATAGCTCTGAGGTGGCTCCGGGGCAACTGCAGCAGGTCCTCACCAGCTTCTGGGACAGAAAGAGCATTTCAATCTCTGTGTTTTCAACTGTAAAATGTGACGCACACGGCCATTCCTGGCACAAACATTCAGACTGACACAAATGTTTGCAACAGCAGGTGACATGGGGCAAACACTGCTTCGGTATCATCATCAACGCTTTTTATTTCCCCAAGTATTTTTTCCAAGAGCCCCTGAAAACACACGTGGGACCCCCAGTTGCTCCTCCTCCGATGGGATCCCTAACTGACGAGGCAGCTACCAGCCACAGGCAGCCAAGTCACTTTAAACAGAATGGAAAAGACCAAGTTGCTCCCTGACACTGGTCGATTTCGAGGGCTCACAAACCCAGCAGACCGCGGGGTCTAGGACACTGCCACAGAAACAGCCTGCCTCCCAGGTCGAATGTCAAATCACACTCTGCTCTTGCCCTGTGTCCATTAGCTCCATGAGTCTCCACGACAGCCCCGGGGCCTGAGCAGCAGCGCCAGGACGCCCAATTCCGTGAACGAGGAAACCAGACCCACGGAGGTCCACGTGCCCACAGTCACAGAGCCAAAGGCAGAGCTGGCAGTTCGCTCTATAATTTTGAGAATGAAAATAGATTTGCGCTGGACACACGCCCCTCCCAGGCCGGGCACTTAACGTGGCAGGGCTCTTCCCGTGAAGGCAGCAATCTCGTCTAATTCGACCCTCCATCCCCAGGGCCCACTCCAGTGCCCGATAGAGCACAGAACAGATGAGCGGGCCGCCAGGAACCGCAGCTCAAGAACCACTCAAGGCCCCCTGACCTCGCAGTCCACACAGGGGTGGACACTTCCGCCAGTGAGTCCACAGTGCTCTCACGGCCCCTATTTGGAATGCCTAAGCTGCACCAGAGAATTTTAGAGCCAGAAGGTTCCCTAGATGAGACTCAGGATGGTGAAGAGGTTTTCCCAGCCTCTGACAATCCTGTCAGCCAAGGGGACGGGACAGGGAGCCTGTGCTCGGGAGAAGGGGAGGTGACCCTTGGGCCATGCCTCTATCAGGGGCCCACACCCTCCATTTTACAGATGAGAAAACAAGACCGGCAGGGAGCTGTGTCGCCCAGCACTGGTCAGCAGCGGAGATCCTCAGGCCACCGGGAAAACAGTCCTCAGAGTACGGCCACGTGAAGCCAGGGAGAAGCGCCAGCCCCGAGAACAATATCCTCATCTCCTCTGGGTCACTGCTCTGTCCCCAAACAGATCTGAGAACCCCTGGAAACCTCACACAGCCCCTCTGCGCTGCCCTTTCTCACATGCAAACGGCAGGCAGCGCCAGGGCAGCCTGCTCAACAGATGCCAAGCCTGGCCCCGAGGAGCGGAGCACGGCTGCCCGCTGGCGGCCCGTGCCACGCCGCGCCCGGCCGCGGCCTTACCTGCTCCTTGCTGTTGCTGCTCAGGAAGCCGGGCTTCTTTTTCTTTTTAATGGGGCTTGTAGAGGTGTCCTGCGGCGAGTGGCCATTGGAAGAATGTGGGGGGCTGGGGAACTTTCTTTTCTGGGCTATTCTGTCTGCAGAGCCAGGATCTGAAAGAGACACACAGGACCACACATTTTAAAGCACCAGGGTGGCCAGAGTCCCACAGGAGGGTGAGTGTGACGGGGTGCATTTTTCCCCAAACTCAAGGTCATTTGCAGGTATACTCCTCCTCCTAGAATAGACCTGCCCCCCTTTCTGTTGTCGTCAAGGATGCGCATGACTTTTGGGGGGGGGGAGGGTACTATGGATCTAACCCAGGAGCACTCTGCCACGGAGCTACATCCCCAACCCTTTTTTAAAATTTTATCTTGAGACAGGGTCTTGCCCAGGCTGACCTTGACCTTGTGACCCTCAGCCTCCCAATGAGCTGGGATTACAGGCATGAACCACCACACTCCACTCCCACATGATATTTTTATGAAATCTTGGTTGGTTGCCAAAACAAAAAAAGTTCATGGCCCACAGGCCGTGACAACACCAGATAAAGTGAGCAACAATCCCACGTCGGGGTGGGAATGAGCCTCCACCTTGCACACTCATCACCGTTCCCGACTGTGTCCCTGCTGACAAGGCCGCAACCAAGCTCCTAGGAGCCGTCACATAGTCACCCGCGCTGTTCGCATGCCCAAGAACTCCTTTTCCACACCCACAAAAATGGCCAATCAGGAAACGATGAAAGGCAGGTCACCAAGGCCACACACCAGGGCAACGACAGCACCTTGCTCTGTGCAGAAAAGGAGCGCTGCTGTGTATGCTCACAGCTGACAAAACAGAAGGGGTAAAAAGAATGACCCCGCCCACCGGAAAGTTCTCCCGGCTGTCAGCAGTGGGCACTCTAAGACCTTCCTCCCAAGAAATCAATACAAATTACATTCTTATTGATTCTCGCCTGAAAAGTACCAGCCCCCCTCTTACCAGACCCCCCTCGTTTCCAGCCTCCCTCCCAGTCAGTGTCTCAGTGCATCCTTCTACCACCATCCATTCAGTCTTCACCTGCAAGGACCAGAGTCCATCCCATGCCCCAAGGTGGCCTCCTCGGCTTATGGACAATAGTGGCGCAGCTTGGGACAGCTGACATCCTGAAGAGCAAAAGCTACAGACACAGGACAGTGGAGAGCAGACCCCGCGCACCGGGCTGGGACGGGATGTGAGATACAGGAAGATGACGATCTCCAAAGATGTTCCTCCTGCAGCTCACCACCGGGCAAGTCTCAGCACGCACATCACCCTGCACCATCTCCCGCCTTCAGGGGAGGGGGACTGGTCCAACATCACCGAATGCAAGGCCTCCCTTTGATTTGGGAGGGTGGGCAGGCAGGCAGCCTCTAGCGGGTGCACAAGGCCTGACAATGAGCGGACTCTCCTGCCTCACCACCAGGCTTCCAGAAAGTTCTGAACCAATGATGGGCAGACCAGTGATGAGAGGAAATTCAATGCTAACCACAGATGTCCTGAGGGTGAAGAGCCCAGGGTCTGGGGGAGCATCCCACAGACACCAAGTGGAGGCCCAGAAAGCCCAAAGGGTTGCCCCCGAGGCACAGGAGCTAGTTAGTGAGAAAGCTAAAAGACAGAACCCGGGACAGGCTCCGGGAGTAGGGACAGTCCCCCAGGGAAAAGGGCGTTCCCAGAAGGGTCCTCTCCACTGTCTGACGGGAAAACTCACTTTCTCCACGCTGCCTGGCTCCAGGGTCCCCTCCTGGAGCAGAGCGGGAACAAGAGGATCCCACTGAGCCACCGTGGGTTGTGCCCAGAACTGGACAACTTAGGTGTCCATGAAGAGTCAGTCCTCCGACACAATGGAATGCTCCAGCCCTTGAGAAAGACAGGCAGCCCGGTGCCGTGACCCACACCTGTCATCCCCAGTGACTCGGGAGGCTGAGGCAGGAGGATGGCAAGTTCAAGATCAGCCTCCGCAACTTAGTGAGACCTGTCTCCAAGTAAAAATCAAAAAGGGCCGGGGATGTGCGAGGAGGCCCTGGCGTGTTCCCTAGCACTGCAAAACCAGAAAGGATCCAAAGGGCACCTCCCCATGAACTGACATTGTCAAGCTTCGGTGCCACATTGTAAAAGCAACAGGTATCCAGCACATTAAGGGACCCGTAAGGATGTGACTGTACATCGGTGCTTGTGCATCCTCAGAAGACTCCCACATGAACACAAAAGTAGAGCAGGGCTCTACATGGGGACAGGTGGCCGCCTTGGAAGGAGACCTGTAGGGAGCAGAGAGAGATTATTTTTCACTGTGTACCTCTGTGTATTGTACTCACTATGAGCCTGGATGACTTTATCAAAATAAGGGAGATTAAAAGTATTTATAAAGTTCAGTTACACGTTTAAAAAAAAAGAAAGAAAAAGCAGCAGGTGCGAACCAAAGTCCCTGATGAACGAAGGAGGAGGCCCAACTCAGGATACAAAAAAGTCCCAGGTGATAAAGTTGGGACTGGATTGAGAACCACAGAAGGCGCTTGGGATTTGTGCTACATGACTCTAGTACACCCCCATACTCTGCTCAAGTGTCAGAGTACTAAAGTTTAAGAAAGGTGTTTTGAGCCAGGAGTGGTGGCACACACCTGTTATCCCATTGACTCAGGAGGCTGAGGCAGGAGGATCACAAGTTCAAAGTTAGCCTCCAAATTTTGCAAGATCTTGTCTCAAAAAATAAAAAGGAGCCGGGCCCAGTTGCACACGCCTGTAATCCTAGCGGCTCAGGAGGCTGAGACAGAAGAAACAAGAGTTCAAAGCCAGCTCAGCTACGGCGAGGTGAGGTGCTAAGCAACTCAGTGAGACCCTGTCTCTAAATAAAACAGGGCTGACATGTGGCTCAGTGGTCAAGTGCTCCCCGAGTTCAATCCCCGGAACCAAAAAAATAAACAAATAAAAAGATTAAAAAGGGCTGGGGTGTAGCTCAGTGGCAAAGCACCCCTGGGTTCCATCCCAGCCACACAAAACACACACAGAGAGAGCAATCAGGCAAAGGCTTTGGTTGGTGTGTTTTCAAGTGTATTGTGAGAGAAGAAAAGCTCACCAGTGGGAGAGGGAGTGAAGGTTTTCAGTGTTTCTCAGGAGGATTTTGGAAGGGAAGCTCATCCTCACTGCAAGGACCACCCAGCACCTGCCACTCATTTCCCTCAGTCCCCAGACACACAGGGTCTGGTGATCAGACCAGCCCAGCCAGTGCTCAGGTGGCCGCTGGGGCCGGAGCAGCGCCAGCTCCCCCTGGCACCCTGTTATCTCTGTGACTGAGGTCCCCTGGGGTGATGGTTACCAGCAGCAGTAGCAGCAGCAGCACCTGAGAATACACTAGAAATGACAATTTGGGGGCCCTGCTCTGGATCTACAGGATTAGAGACACTGGGGCAGGGCCCAGCCACCCTCTTCAATGGCCTTCCAGGACTAAGATGCGCCCAGTTTGAGATGCTCTGGGTGGTGTGTGTCTGGGGGGACTGTGAGGTCTCGGGCCTGGGGAGGCATCTCCTCCACCTCCCATCACCCTGCAGGGGCTGGTCTGGGGTCCACAAACAGAGCCGGGCAAGGTGACCAGGCCAGAAAATGAGGCTATGTCAAAGAGCCCTAGGAAGTGTCTTTCCCTCTCGGGGCCTCAGCGCCTGGTCTGTAAAGTGGGGAAGGAAGAAAGAAAGGGACCCAAGTGAAGCCCTTCCCTGGAGTCCACCACCAACACAAGGCGCGTCCTGCACACAGACACCACTCCCTGGGCCGAGCGGCCACAGCCCACTCAGGCTTCTCAGAGGTGTCCTAGAGATCAAGACCACGGGGCCAGAAGATCTTAAAGTCCCTCTGGGACTTCAAACTCCTTTAATTCCATGAACAACACCAGAAATCAATATTCCCGTCAACCATTTAGAGCGACCAACCAGGTTTGCCCAAGCCCACCAGGACACCAAGAGGAAACTGGGGTCCTGCACCAGGGTCACCACACTGAAGAGTATCCCCGACTTTCCAGTCTCATCAGAACATATAAACCCCAATTGTGGGCTGGGGTTGTAGCTCAACTGACAGAGCGCTTGCCTAGCATGTGTGAGGCCCTGGGTTCGATCCCCAGCACCACATAAAACTAAACCAACAAAATAAAGGTATTGTATTCATGGACAACTAAAAATGTTTTTTAAAACATAAATAATTTTTTGAAAAAAAAGCAATTGTCTGCGGTTACAAAGGCCCCGATTTCCCCCCAGAGTTAATGAGAGTTGAGTGGCTGTATCCAAGGGGCAGAAATTTAATAGCCTCCAATCAGCAGACACAGATGGCAAGAGCAGGGCCTTCCGTGAAGGCTCCGAGGCAGAAACCCCAGGAAACGTCCGCCGGACCCCACACCCTTCAGAGGTCGGACGGAGATGGCGGTCAGCTCTGACACAAGCCCTTGGCTGAGACCAGGCCTCGGGTGGTGACAAGATGGTGGTAGAAATCTGGCTGTCGTCATGGTAACGAAGCCACCACGGGGAGCTTTTCCAAAAGGCTGAGTCAAATTTTTTTTCTCTCCTTTAATGATTTAATTCTGACGAGGCCGTATTGCTAAGCACATTTCATCCACGAACTTGGAAGGATGACAAACAGCCACTTGGACTGCGGCGCGGGGAAGGGTTCACCTTTGATCTGAAGGGTTTCTTGGTTCTGTTTCGGTCTGGGTTTTTCTGGCCACTTTCTCTGGTGACTCTATGGGGCTGGCCCACCAGCAACCCTGGGCTCCCACCCGCCCTCCGGGTAGGTCTGGCCTGGGAGGGATCATCCGGGTGAACCGGGCCGGGGAGGGGCAGGGTAATGACTCTGGGAAACAGCTTGGCCTACAACAGGAAGCAGCACACGTTTCCTGGCTGGTGACACTTCCCCACTTCCCCGAGATCTTCAGAATACGGGAAGTCTCCTGGGTACCAAGAGCCCAGCATGTGATGAGATCCTCCCCAGACCTAACTCGGAGCCACCAGAAACAACCCTGCCCGCCCCTGCCCGGCCACGCCGTGACTTGAGGGGATCCATCCTCCAAGCAGGCCTGGCCTCGGAGCCTTCCTGAGCCGCAGGTATTAACAGCCAA